AACCACATCCACCATCTGAGTCTTTATCTTGTTTAGTCTGAAAGATGCAGAGGTTAAGCATGTTTAGTCTGGTTCATTATTTCTCTTTTAAATTTCCTCAAAATGCTACGTCACTAGGAATGAAGGTATAGCTTCGAGCTTCCAGTCGTGCAATAACAGGATATAAGTCAGCGTTAGGTAATGACTAATTAAACACAGATACACATACGCAACGACATAAACACACTGATAATCTGAGGCACCAATATTTAAATGCTCAGGTGCGCAAATTTGTGAAATAATAATCAAGACATAATAATCAAGAGAAAACGTCTTTATGAAGTTGGAACTGGCCATCTGGCCAATCTCCACCATCAAGGTCGAACACTTAAACTGGACCTCACAAAGATGGACCCTGGGGATCACGCCAACACAATGCTGCCTATACACTTTAAACATATACACAGTACTGCAGACAGAAAACGCTGCACACAGAGTCAAATCTTTCCTTGGTTACGACCAGGCAACTTAAAAACAATCCATAAAACACACCTCAGTGCAGACACATAACGCATGGCCGGAACACCCATCGACCCATTCACTTGCATGGCGGAACTGCCCATTGCATCATCAAAAAGAAATGACACCCGGGCCCATCTAAATCATGTATGACCAGCCCTCCCTTCTGGCCCGGTGGGGGCCCTCAAGAAGGCACTGGTCAATTTCATTTGGCCCTCCATTACATACCCAATCATCCAAAAACTACGTCTGAAGTTAACCAAGTTGACCTCAAGGCTGGAGGAGAGCCGCAGGGCAGCACGGTCATGGTCAACAAATGCTGCGGCAGAACAGCTGAAGCCTTTTTGCTATGGAAACCTGAGTCCAAAGCCTGCAGGAGGAGAACTAAATCTAAGTTATGTCTCCATGTGCTTCTCCAATTGGCAACAGTTATATGCATCATTTTCAGCCATTATTGGATACGAAATATAATTCAAGCCTCCCTGTTGATCCTTAAGAACGCGTGTAAAGACAGAAGAATGGCAAGATTGTCTTTTTAAGTGTTTGAGAAAAAAGTGAGTCTATATTTGTATCCATGTAAGCACAGTATGGTGTGTGTGTGTGTGTGTGTGGAGGCTTTGGTTATAAGTGTTTTTGATTATTCTTTATCTCCCGGCCTACAAGAGCATTAGCAACATGAGTAAGGTCTGTGTCAGTCTCAGCACCCAATAAATCTCCTCCCCGCCCCGTCCCTGGTGAGGACCGATGTCTCACTGAAGATCTTGTTCCAAAACGTTACTTGTTCCAAATGCCGCGTCAGTAAGGAGTCCATTTTCATTAACTGAAAGTTAATGAAAGCACTTCAACTATAAATACAGTGAATCCATACACAGAAAGGGTCCATTAGAGAACACACACACATTATAGGCAAAAAAACATAATGGATTCACATTCTGAAAATCCCTTGTAGATAAACTACGTAGTTCCGCAGTCACAGGAGACTTTAGAGTCTCTGGCAACAGGCAAATTAGGCTGCTACCTTATAAAAAGCAGATGGGAACAGCCTCAGGTAGAAGCAACAGGGTGCAAAGAAGCAGCCAAACCGAGTGTGTGTGACAGTACGGCCAGCGCTCTGATTCATAATCGATCTCTACGGGTGCAATTAAGCAAACAGCCCATTTGTTAGCCGCTCTGATGGATAAATTCAGTACAGTGCCAGAAAAGCAGGACTTTCCTTCGGCCGCTTTAAATTCATTCTTAATTGAGAGAAAACATTGAAGTTCAAAAAAAGAAGAAGAAAAAAAAAGGATTACTGACAGAGGGCCAGACGCAAAACACACATCAGAGAGAACCACCTTGGCACAGCTGTCAATCGTGTCAGGGTGAAAAAAGAAGAGGAAGAAAAAAGAGCTGGCAGAGAAAACTGTAGGAAATGATGGATATTGGAATACCGGAGACACCCCAGATTCCAATGTGCAGGCCTGGTGTCAACTCAGCATTTCTTTTACCACCTTCAAGCAAGTTAATTACAGTTGTTACATTTAAAAAAGGATAACATGAGTTCATCATGACAGTTATAATAATAAGAGTCAAATGTCCACGTTATGAATGAAGCTTGTAACAATCCAAGCTCTTTTTAGAAGAATAGGACCGTGCATATCTCCTGCTGGAAAACGGTGCATTGGGCAGTCAGCAACAGAGTCAGACAACAGAACTTTATTTCTGGTCCACTTCAACAAAGCAACAACGCAGTGAAGCTCAGAAAAAAGCAAGAATGGAAAATTGAGACTAATTTGGGCACAAAATCACTTGATGGTATTACATAGTTGAAGGTCTTATGCTATCAGGGACAAACAGGCGTTGACAAAGAAACAACTGTTGTGGACGTATTAAAAAAAAATAAAATCCTGATTTGGCAAAATAGACAGAACCGGAAAAATAAATGGCCGTGCATATTCAAATGAATTTATTTGTCAGAAGGCTGTTTGTGTGTGTGGTAAGTGGGTGGCTTTCTAACATCAGTTTATTGGCTTCCACCGTATTGTGGTGCTAAAGATTGCAAAACTTTTCCCATCTGAAAAAACACGGTTGCACCCCCCTCCCCCCCCCCCCCCACACACACACACACACACACACACACTCGGTCTGGGATAGATCCTCAAACCACTGCTGAAATCTCATCACCTACTGGATTAAGGGACTGCCGGAGAAGAGACGTTGAACACGGGTCAAAAATAAAACTAACTCACCCACCCGCACAGAGAGACAGAGTGGTGATTCAGCAGTAAAAGTTTTTGTTCTGTTCCAACCACAAGAGTGTAAGTTCAGCCTCGTTAGCCAGAGAGCAGAGTTCCTTTTGTTTGGGAGAAAGAGAATAATGGCTCGTTGGAAAGGGTCCATCCCGCTTTACTTTCATGTCGGTGGTTGTTAAGGATTTCTGGGGGTTTAGAGTAAAGCCATGTGAGCATCATGTCATTGTTCAGGGCGGCATGGATTCACAGGCAATGGAAATCCACAGAACTCAGGCAGAGCTTGCAGTTTAACTTGTTTGGAAATGGTGATTGAGAGATTAACGTGAAGTCAAAGTCAACTCAAGGTGTGCCTATTGTACCATGCGAAGACATTCAATATGTGTGTGTGTGCAGGTATTTGGGTATTTTTACAATCTGAAGCTTGTGAGAAAATGTATAGTCTCGATTTATTAATCCTGCTTAAATATACAAGACATTTAATGAAGACCCTCAGGAGCAAAAGGGAAAATATGGGTTGATTCAAGGGAGTGGAAGGTGGAAACGGGTTTAAGGTGTTAAAATGACAACTCCCAGAGACGTGAGGTAAATCTTAAAGGAATCAAAGTACTACACATGCCAGAGATCATAAGCGACACGCTGCAAAAGCCTGTTCAGCAACCAGCAGAAGAATCAACCTTACCCAGAATGCAAATGAATGCATGCACTGTAACATCATTAAATTCAAATACACACATACACACGCACGCACAGGCAAATGAACAGCAAGCCTACAGAGTGTTTAAATTCCAGGGAGACATCTGTAATGAGGAACGACTCATTTGGATTTAATTACAGGCAACGAAGTGGAAAAGTTGGTATTAATCAACTCAAAGTGATTTCCGCAAAGAAAACTCAATTCCAGAGTTTAAACTCAATTTGCCATAAATTTAATTAATGCTGCTTTAAATGGAGGCACTCAGCTGATTGTGTGTCATAAAACATTGCTGGGGGTTCTGCTTCACTCTCTTTGTATCTCTCTCGTTTGTCCTTTCTCTTTCCTCAAACCACTATGGAGGCAAAAAGCAGTGTCGCAGTGCCATCTTGTGTCATTGGAAGCACGCTACAGCAGGTGAGACAGTACTCTACCCACTAAGAAAAGTAAAAAGGTATTAGCAATAAATAAATAAAGTTTAATAAATCATTAAACAGTTTTTCTGTAGCTGGCATCATTCTATTCAATTCTTCCATCCAGGCTAATATCAGCTGTGTAGTCTGTTGCAGTCAGACATCAAGTTTTAACTAATATTGGATTTCAGCAGTTTTTCAAAATTTTCTGTGTATTGGTGTATGAAATCGTTTTAAACAAGTTGTGATTTCGTATTACTAAGAGCCGAGTAAAAACTTTTTCCCAACATAGAAGTCAGTCATCATAAGATCCATTTAAAGTTTTTAACAAGAGGGTTAAGATCATATCGAGGAAAATACCTATTTTTACCTCACAAAAATATGTTTTCCTTCCAAGATAAAACCAGATTAGTTTATTTTAAGAAATTATTCAAATAAAACAATTTGAGAGGGAAGTGTCAGATATAGTGTACCTCAACTTGTAGAAATGTTTATGCTGTAACATGAGAGGGGCTAACAAGTAGACGTTGCCTTGGACTTAATAGGCATACCTGTCTTTAAGCAGGTGATACGCTAATATACAGTTTGGGAACCACGAGTACCGAAGCACATTGACAGAAAGTGCACTGTGCTGATTTTACCTCTAGATGGCCATAACTACCAAGTTCAGACCAGAGGGCCAGAGGACATCTTTGCAGCGCAGCGGGACATGTCAATCTGCATAGAGGTCAACCAAGGATATCACTTTCTAAAAGCAGCAGGCTATTGAGAATATCCAGAGGAAAGTACAGAATTTCAATGAGTCTAACTGCAAACTTGTGCACTGTGTGAAAGAAGGAAAATGATAAATTGCATGTTGCAGCGACAAATGTTGTTGCACTCAAAAAAATAAGTCATTGGACAGTCAAGATCTCTATGATATAGGATTAAATTGATTTAGTCCAACTAATTTTGATCAAATTCATCTCAAATGAATAGATACCATTAATCAAATATTCAAAAAATGTTGTTCGTTCAACTTAATCTAAACTCAAAGTAAGTCATTGGATGAACTCAATTTATTTGTGTGCAGGATTTTCATCCAATAAATATGTGTAGCCATAACTCAATTTAAGAACATCCATGCAATAGGATTACATTGAATTAGTCCAACTCATTTTGATCAAATAGTTCTAAACAATTATTTTATTAAACATTTCTTATTTTATCCCCTATTAAGACGCATGATACATAATGTAGTTCAAGCGTTTATATTGCAAATGCTCAGAGAAGTCAGAACTGACCATCCAATACAACAAATACAAAATAATAAACCATCTGATCAGGAAATTAACAAAAGTCCAGTGCATTGTGCATTTCCATTATTGACAATGTAAATGAATATCAACCTCAAATCCAGATCCAAACCGCATTCCTTACACCTCTGCATGCAGAATCCTATAAAGGAGAACAGGATCATTAACACACACTAAACAAATGACAGTGAAAAATCATTCAGCATACCGACTATTACTTACTATCATATGAAAGATGATACATGTATTAGAGAAGTGAAATGCTGGAATACGCCAAATGTTACAGGAAAGTCAATGTTTTAAAAAACGTACAGATGAAACATGTAGAATGAACTTACCTTAAGAAACATGCGCTGCTTCAGCTAACGCTAGTCAACGTTAGTTAGCATTAGCTAACACAAGTGAACGTTAGCTAGCGTTAGCTAACGCTAGTCAACGTTGGCATGTTGGTCTTGCCCTGAAGCCGTGTTAGCTGACAGGGAAGGACGCTGGGAGCGACTGACTCCCCTCGTGGCGTTGGAGATGACTGACTGACTTTCTGACCTCTGGTCATGATGCTAAACACGCTCAGCTAACTAACGTTAGCTTGAATGCTGCCAAATCGGGACTTTAGTAAAGTGGAGCAGAATTTCCCTGGTTTGACTTATTAAGAACGTTTCACAACTTGTGTGCAAGCGTTATTCAACAACGTAAAAAACAGTTAACGTTACTTACCAAATAACGTATTTCCACCCAAGCCAGAAAAAATGATGTTGCAGCCAATTTCAGTCCGCAAAAAAGGCAGAACGACGCAAAAAGCGCAGAATGTGGCACGTGCGCAAAGGGTAGTTCTCATTAATACATTTATTTGAGTTGACATATACACGTTTTAACCTAAATCAATCTCATAAGTGAAACTATTAAACCATTTTATGTTGCTGCTATTGATTATATGACGCTTAGGCGAAAATTCAGTCAGGAAGACTGGACAGGTTGTGCCGTTCCCTGGTGGCCTCCTCTCTCCCTGGGGGGGCACGGCCAGCTGATTGGGGGCGGGGTCAGGTAGTATCATGCGTAGGTGTCGTTACCGTAAACCAATCGCATTGGTGCAGGCAAACGTTAAAAACTGTTCTCCTCTCTTTTGCTGTCAGTTGTCATTTCAGCACGCTCCAAAGGTGACCCGCCACCACCCCTGACACCTCCAATCTACAGCAGAACCTGGCATAGCTGGAGAGTTATGCAACCAGGGCTCTACCACCACCACCACCATTGTCTGGACTCCCAAAGGGGGGGATATGCCTCATCTCGGCTCGAGATCCCGGCCCCTGGTCTATCCTGCGGCAGGATGGAGTCCAAGCCCCAAACAACTTGCAATATCATATTATGCCTGTTATAATAAAGCATTGTTCAAATTTCAACAAGTCTCTCCGGATTGAAATATATGTTCATCCTTTAATATATTCAAATAAAGCAAACACCATTTAGGCCACATTTACACATAGCCGGATATTTACAGAAACGAATATTTCTGCCCCTCCGTTTTCAAAAATAACGTCGTACACACAAGGTCGTTTTCAAAAAAGTTTCTGTTTATATGAACCCGGGCGCCATCAGAACTATGCCAAACCTGTAGTCGGCAGTATAACGAGAAGGATAAAGACATGCAAACCAATCAGAATTCGCATACTGTGACGTTTGACGTCTAGTTCACACGCAAACACAAAAACAGAGTTTTCAGAAATCTCCACTTTGGCTAGAGTTTTTAGAAATGATCGTTTTCCGTGATAAAACCTCAGTGTTTGTGTAAATGAAAGTCCAAAACGCATGAAAATGTATGCGTTTTCCCATCGTGTAAACGGGGTCTAAGTTGTGGTGGGAAATCAATCGCACATGAAGCCAATGGCAGACTCTCATGCATATTCTAATTCTGCAGGTGTTGTTAGTGTAAAAATACAGCTTCAGACATCTGATGACAAGTATCATGTTGCTGGAGCGGGAATGACACAGATCCTTCTGCCACCTCGCTGTTAATCACGTTAAGCAGTTGTGAGAAAATCGAAAGGTTAAAAGCAAAAGGCATTACGGGCGAACGACAGGAAGGAAGAAGACATTAATCACGAGGGTGAACTTGTGTCGGAGTTAACACCACAGATATCCATTACCCTTCCGTCCTCGCCCTTTCTTCCTCACTTGGTGTCCAGAGTGGCGACAAGATCACGTTCATTTTAGATTTAGCTCCTTCTGCGCATCCTCAGTGTCAGCCGGACTCTATTTGAAGCTGTTCGTAAGTGATCTGAGCTGTTAGTGCGAGACATGCTGATAGTCCTGAAATAAAATATCTACCTCTGCATCACCCGCCACCTGTTGCCAATAAAGACTTTATTGGAGCGAGAGCATGGACATTGTTACTAAACTCACTGCAAACATCAGCAATCTGTCCGTCCTGTGGAGGACAAACAAAGGTGGAGCAGTTCACTAAATACTTTGGTACTGGTGATTCCTGTAGTTGGATTTACCTTCCTACAATACAATAAGCAGCCCAACACGCTCGGGCTCCCAACCAACTGGCAGTGCCTGCAGGCCCCTGCTCCCCCCCTGTCCCCCCTCCATCCTGTCCGCCCCCCGCCGCTCGGAGCAGCATCAAGCAGGCCGGACCGCCAGCAGCCAAAACCCAACAGATGCACAGCGCTGAAGCCGACATCAGAAAACCTGGGTGGGGGCTGACATTTGAAATGGTCTCCCTGACACATAAATACACACTTATACACGTCTGAATATAAAGTTTCGCTCGGCTGAGGAGTTGAGTGGATGAGTGGAAATAATACCTGGTGCATCAGTTTAATCGGCAGTTCTTGTTTCTACGTGGCTTTACTTTTCTAAACTGAAGTTCTATTTGGACAATTTCCTTTAAGACTCCATTTGCACATTATGCTTTGCTTATTACTAAGAATTAATGAACCCACACACAAGATATGTGTCAAAATGTGTGTTGGATAAGCAGCCCTTCAAATGACTGAGGTCTAGATCCAGTGGGCCGATGACGCAGCATGTAATGTCTAGATGTATCCATTTATTAAAAGTCTAATCTCTAAAAAAAAACAAAAATCAATGGTTCAGGGAGTGAATTAATTAATGAAATGTCAAAAGAAAATGAGATACCACTAGATACAGTTTCGCTGTAACAGCCACCACAATATCATTGTCCACTTTTTCCATTAAGGCGGAAATCACCTCTGTTGCCGTTAAACATCAAGTTCTAAGAAATATTGGATTTATTTTTCCTTTTCGTCTGACCTTTTCTCTCCCATGAAATCCCCATGCAGTGAGGATGTCCATACACAACAGTGAAATGTCTCAACACAGAGCAACAAATTAAGATTTGTTGACATTTTGGCACTGTTCTTGTTTCATTTGAAGCCTCTTTCCAAGCACTGCCCTGTGCCCTCTCAGTCAGCTCTCTAACAGTGGATTACTTTGGGCTTGTAAATACTGTACAGCTCTGAGAACGAACATTGATCTTGCAGTTTAATGAGAAAGCACAGGGGACAGACACTCCTGTGCTCAAAAAGTCTTGATTCAACAAACAAAAACAGCTGGCATATGTGTTAAAACTGGTGCATTTTACAAAATGACCCAAAGGATTACAGTGAATGTTATTTGAGGGGCAATGACGTTACTGCCAAGACAAAGGGGGGGAGAAAGGAAAGTTAAACTCACACAGGCACATCCTGGCCCCGTTTCCTTTCTCCAGACCGATTCTGGCACTAAACATCCTCAGGCTCGCGTCGGCTGGTGATTTGATAAATTGTCCCTTTCATCTTGTCGATGTGCATTGTGTCAGTGGGTTTGTGTGCATTCAGATCTGTGAGTGTGTGCGTGTGTGTGTGCGCCTGCATGGGTGCATTGTAGGAGCTGCGTTTGGCTTTCTCACTGAGAGCTGCTGTCACAGCCTCAGAGAGCGTGTAATAGCCGCCCATTCTCCCGGAATAAATGCACATCAATACACAAGGGGATAATGTGGCAGTTTCAAAAAGACCTGCAATAATTAAACAGAAAAACATGTAAAAAGTCAAGAAATGTCATTGTTTTCAATAACTGTGTGTTTGCCGTTGAAAGAGTTTGCAATCCACAGTGAAAAAATACTATTTTGTATGGATAAAGGTTGGTTATTTGTGAGCACAAACGGCTTCTGAGTTGGATTGTGAGTGATGGCTACGGAATGTATTCTTTGTTTGATCGATACTCAAAGGCAACTGTTATGTTACTGTTGTTTATTAAAGTACCTTGAAATACATCATGGTGAAAAGCAGTTAATTCGCTGCAATTTCTTTTTGCTGAGATAACAATGCATAGAGTCTGCAGGTTTCAAACCGAGTGTGTTTTTAAGTGGGTCTGCAGAATGAGACTACAGCAAGAGACAGCAATCACCCTCAGCTCGTCTGTTGACCACTCAGCCTTTTGCTTTCAGTTCCTCGGCATGACTTCATCAGGTCTGTAGATACATTATATGAGAAAAACGTCAAAAAAGTGATCAATGGTGAAGAAAAAATATATATACATATATAACACTTTGGTTGGCAGATGGGCATTTTGCCTATTTCCATAAAGTAGGTTGTTTTTTCAAAATTTGATAGACTAATTGGAAACTAATAAATACATTAAATAAAGGAGAATGTCCATCACTAATCTCCCACAATGTGGTATCTTCATATTGCAGGTTCCGCCATACGTTTTTTACATTACAAATTAATTGTTTATCTAAATGTAGATCCAAAAAACATCCAGCGACCCCGAAGCTAAACACGTGACGTTGGGTGGATAAACTGTAGAAACCCACAACACCAACAACCATCCGACCAGAAGCACGGCTGAGGATTGAGATATTATCACAGTGTGCGCGCCGTCACAAGTAAACATCAACACCTTTAAGACAGCCTGTTGGTATGGAAACAACACGTCAATAACAACAATAACTGGATTTCACAGAATTTTTGCGACCATTCCCTCTGTCCGTTAATTTTTATTTTATTTTTGTCCGATGATATAGTCATGCGTGCAAACCGACACTCACTCACTCCTTCACTCCCTCCTTCACTTACTCACTCCCTCCCTCACTCACTCCTTCACGCCCTCACCGCCTCACTCCTTCACTCACTCCTTCACTTACTCCCTCCCTCCCTCCCTCACTCACTCCCTCCCCCCTCACTCACTCCTTCCCTCACTCACTCCTTCACGCCCTCACCGCCTCACTCCTTCACTCACTCACTCCTTCACTTACTCACTCACTCCTTCACTCACTCACTCCTTCACTCCCTCACCCCCTCACTGCCTCACTCACTCCTTCACTCACCCCCTCACTGCCTCACTAGCTCCTTCACTCCCTCACTCCTTCACTCACTCCTTCACTCCCTCCCTCACTCCTTCACTCACTCCTTCACTCCCTCACTCACTCCCTCACTCACTCCTTCACGCCCTCACCGCCTCACTCCTTCACTCACTCACTCCTTCACTCACTCCCTCACCCCCTCACTAGCTCCTTCACTCCCTCACTCCTTCACTCACTCCTTCACTCCCTCCCTCACTCCTTCACTCACTCCTTCACTCCCTCACTCACTCCTTCACTCCCTCCCTCACTCCTTCACTCACTCCTTCACTCCCTCACTCACTCCCTCACTCACTCCCTCACTCACTCGCAGTACAAATCGCGCGTTCGGCGCCCACTTATCGCAGCGTGCGCGAGCCTCAGCGCTTTGCGTCGTTCATTCATCCCGCTGAAGGCTGCTCACACTTTCTTGTTATTCGTCTCCCCTCCTCCGTCCTCTGTCTCCCCCCCGCCCCCTCCCCCCCCCCCCCCCCCCCCCCCCCCCCCCCCCAACGCCGGGATAGCTCACTTTGTCTTTTTTTTTTTCTCTTGGTCGGGTGGACGGGGGATGATATCAACAGCTACGTCTCTTCTTTCCTCCGCGACACCGTGGACTCGAGCGGAGGGATCCCGGGACGCGCGCACCACGACGGAGAGCCGCGGGAGGTAGTTTCTCTCACATTTATCCTCATAAAGATTAAAAACAACAACAAAAACAAGACACGAAGAAGACGTTTGTATTGCGGACCAGCGTTGCTAAGGACGCTGCAGCCCCGCGGGACTCGCGTGAAGTTCTGCTGCCGGTTTCTCGGCTCCGCGGCGTTGGAGGATCACGGACGTTGGTCGGATGGTTGTCGGAGAGGAGTCGCTGCCTCTGCGCCAGGTGAGCGATGGACTCCGTGCTGCTGAGCGGGATGTGCTGCCGTTATACGCTTTGTTCAACAGATGCATTGTTGGCACCTTTATATGCTTTTTGATTTTTTTGGGGCACCTTAAGATCACGTAATGTCTCTGTGGAATGATTGCATGCGGCTGTCAGTTGAGTTTGCAGCAACCTTTAAAAAAGTTTATGGTATTTCATCTTTGGATCGAATCGAATCTATACATTCTCAATCTACGTTTTCTAGCATATACTGGTGTGATGGTTATACGTTATTGTTTACCTACTGTGGTTCTTGGGTATTTTATTGAACAATAACATTGTTAATTAAAGTAGCACTTAAACACATGAGTTATCTATTAGATCAACAGACCAAGATGTTCACCATAATGGAACAAGTGCTGGGCTGCATGCAGTTTATGGTTTTATATGATCCTGATATGGTTAAGTGATTAATTGTTTGGTTAATTAAATGTCGGCAAACAGTGACAAATGGTGAGGTCGCCAAATATGCCGTGTCTTCAGTTCATATTGACTACGACAGAGCAAATCAGCTCATCCCTGTTGGACAAGATGAAACCAGAGAGGCTGGTGTTTCTAATTGATTATCAACATAGTACCACCTTAATCTTCTGGAAACTGACTATTCAGATAATTCAGCTAATTTCATTTCAGAGTTTGAAATTATTTAGAAAACTCGTCCGCCCGCCTATAATTTAAATTAGATTCATTGATTCTCCTTATTATTCAGGATTTTTCATTGCAGAGCACATCCAGCTCATGCACACCTGTACAATAAAGCCTCTCTGTGAGATACGAAGATGCATGTATTATGAATTAGGTCCAATACTTGCTGCATCCATCTCTCTCGTTGAGAGCCTATGCAAGTATTTGTCACTTTGGGGAGTATGCGTCAGTCTCACACAGGGCGTCTGTGGCAGGATGATACCAGCTTACGGCCTTTACACAGCAGTCGCCTGCCTGTCACCAGGACTGAACCAATACACACACACACACAAACACACACAGACACAAGTGGCTACACCCACAATATCACCCAGTCGGACAGGATGAGTGCCATGAAGTCAACAGATTCTAAGTCATCACGTGCACTTATTGTTTCAGTCCTCAGAAACGGACATTTTATCGACTTTGGGAGCTTCTCTCTGTGCAGTCTCTACTCTGGCTCTATTTTTCCACGTGGCCAAACGGACTGAGCAGAGCTCAGGCTTCATGCTCAGTTTGTACACAGTTATTGATCAGCCTGCGCTGACTTCTGCTGTACATCAGGTCACTGCAGCAGACGAAGCGGCTGAGTGTCTCAGGAATAGATAGAAATGCACTTTAAGGTGACCATCATTATTACGCCTGCCAGTCTGTGAAATAATTGATTAACCTTTTGATACATGAAAGGTCACATCAAAGGCTCCCAAAGTCCAATAACCCCTTTTGCAAAAATGCCTGTTTTGTCCAACCACAGCTTTGTAGTAGATCAGGAACGATTTTTCACACAAAACATCTTTTATCGTGTTTTTTTAAGCTTTCGTCATTTGCAGCGTGGCTTCAGGAAACCGCGATGGATATTTTCTGACTAGTCGATTAAACGATTAACCAAGAAAATAATGGACACGTTTATCAATAATGAAAATAACCATTGATTTCCGCCGTCTAAATCCCAAATTGCATTTGGTGCTGGATAAATCTCGATCGACTGTTTCTTCCACCATTCTGGAAGGTTAAAATTGAGCTGATGGGTGTCACTACCTGTTTAAATGTGCTTTACGTCTTTACACGAGCCAAATGATTGTAATTGGAATATTTTTAAATGTAAACGGTCTTATTTTTGTCACTTGCCACGGACAACACTGCATGTATCTTCAGAGCGAAGACTAATGTGAAAGAGGAAAAAAAACACAAACAGAAATAAAGCCAACTAATTAGCATGTCGATAATGTGGAACATATGCAATTTAGTCGTTGCCAGCTCCGAGAAGCCTATTTCATTCTCCCTCTTCCAGTCTCTCATGAGGTGGTGAACGGCATCTGGGGGAGAATCTGATTAACCGACAAGAATAAATTACTCAGTCCTCAAGGAATAAACGGAGAAGCGATGTTGCTCTTGCAAAGTACCCGCTTTGCTTTTTTTTACGAGGACCTGGATTCATGGAACGAGTGTGTACGCGTGTCTGTGTTTGTTTTCATAGGTGTGGAAGTGCTGTAGTTTCTTTAGGACGGACAGCATCTCCAGCGTGTGTCTGTGTGTGTGTTCTTTCTGCTCCATAGCAACAGGCAGCATATCTTCAAATATCTTTATCAGACGTCGTATGCTGTGACCTTTCTGCTAACTGTGTGCACGCCAGTCTTTGCATGGATGCATCTGTGTTTGTGTGTGTGTGTGGGTGCGTTTGACCTTTCCCCGTGTACATTCATTAATAGCGCCATAATAGCTAATATGAGACCTACACGATCAAGGTATTGAATGTGTCTCATAGCAGCATCAGTGCGATTCCTTTCCCAAAGAGCTGTTCTGTTGTCTGTTGTTTCTTTCCTCTCAAACGACTAGTATTGATGAGGATTCGGCCTCCTTTGAACAAGCGGCAGTTTACCAAGATTATATTATTTTTTGAAAGACGTCGTTAATATACATCTTGACACGGTTGTAGTCTAATGTTAATATCAGTGTTGGACTAATAACTGCTTGCATATTTCATATGCGTATATAGCAGACAGAGCTCTTTAGAAATCAATTTTGTTTTGCTCCATCACCATGTTCTGAAGCTGGCCTGATGCCAGACAGGGAGGGAATGATGGAAGGAGAGGAGGATATTGTGGGTGCATTACTGAACGAGAAGAAGAAGAATATGTTCATCAGATGAAGAATTAATTCTCTTCCATCTTCAAATTTGTCTGAAGAAGTTATTGTCTTTCTCAAAACGTCACAGCGCGGAGTAGATGCAAGTTACGGAAGCACATGCGCTCGATCCTTGCTCATCGCTTCCTGTTCGTATGGCCACACTGCTGCAAGGTCATGCCCTATTTATATACATGCATGTGGGCCCGGTGTGTGTTGCAGAGCATGCAGTCTAAGCTCATACAGTACATATCAAGAGCATAACCCTGTGTGAGTGTAGGTGTGTGTGTGTGTCTGTGAGAGAGAGAGAGAGAGAGAGAGAGAGAGAGAGAGAGAGAGAGAGAGAGAGAGAGAGAATGCACTGCCAGCTCATACATATAAATCAACAGAAGAATCCTTTGTGTGCCCGTCTGTTTGGTCATAACTCACACAGCGCGGTGGCACAGCACAGTGGGACGTTTATATGTGCTATCTTTGTGGATGGGTGTACTGTGTGCATGTGGAGACTGCGTAAAAAAAAAAAAATCACTGCTCTATTGTAGAATCTGTTGTGCGTGTGGCTCTGTCCTCTCTTGATTTTCTTGGAATTCTGCAAGGGAAAATAAACAAATGTTTCTTCTCATTTTCAATTCCCCGATCGAACTCAGCCCTCGCTCTTAAAAAACATTTTTTTAAGTCAAAAGGCGAAGGAGAAGTTGATCATCTAGCTGAAACCGAAAGGGGTGAACATTGGGCTGTTTGGATGAATACCACCATTATTATTACTTATTTACATTTGCTGTATTCTGAGAACTAAATCTCAACGACCTCAAAGTTTTAGATGCTTTTGTTTATGGGTTGTTTTAAACTGAGTCTTTATTAATGTTGCACGACCAGATGATGGATTGATCAATGCTTCTCTGTTCTGCTAGCTCCATTTTCCTGGAAGCACTGTTCTCTAACAAACACTCAAAGTGAATCTCAAAAGCTAAAATCAATCCTTTCAATGTAGTAGCACTTCTTAGAAAATCCACCTGCAGTCAAACCGAATGAAGCAAAATATTTACAGTATGAAGTTCAATCCATCCCAAAGTTCACAAGGTGAACCGAACATTACGACAGAAAAGAAATAGTCTATTAACACAACGTCACAGTGTGACTCATGGAGGCTGTCACGTATACGTAAAAATAATAGTATATTTTATTTTCACAGAAATGCTGTAAAAGAGAAAATTAAGTCACACAACTGCATCGACGCACACCTCTCCAGAAAGGTGCCCCAGCAGGTTGTTCCGTTTGGCCTTTTACTTACTGTGGGGATTCCTGCACGTACGGTAAACATGGAAGAACTCACACTGCGACAGACACTTAGAAGAGTATAGCACATCTGAGCAGCGTGATTGACAGCTGATCCTATAAGGCTATTTGTGTAGATATACGTCATCAACTCTCAGCCATGTTGTACTGAAACTATTCATAGTCCCGCTTCACAGTCAAGCCACCACAATCTGGCGTCAAAAGTCTTATTAGCAGAGCTTTATGTGCAACAATGAGTATATTCTCTAATTAGTAAAAGGAAATGTGTTATTTTTCAGTTCTGTTAGTCCAGTAATGGAGGCAAAAAGAAGTCAAAAAGGACGAGGAGGAGAGTTTTGTAAAGAATTAAATGCAGAGCATTTCCTGCTTGTGTCACTTTAGTTGCACCACTTATACAATTTAAAGTCATTTAAAAATATTGAATTATAATCATATTCTTAGGGGCCTTGATCCCAGTATCAATGTGAAATTAACCACGTATTATACTAAGATGAACACATTCTGCCGACACCCCAAATCCTTCAAGTGAGTGTAATTCTGATTAGTGCAATACGATGTTTGAACAAACTCTATTCATTGATCTAATAGATTTTGGTGTTGAATCTCGGTGCTACGTGCAAAAAAGAAGAGATTTCTTAATGATACGGGAAAAAATACAGATGAGAGTCCCGGGAAAGTTACAATTAACAAAATGAGAACTTTTGGACAGAATTTGCTAAAGTATGAAGACAATTAGCTGCTAATGGAACAGATAGACCCCAACAGCTTTGTTGCCATTCAGCAAAGCGCCCCCCATATGTTACAGTAACATAACGACCCCCACACAAACTTCAGGCCGCCTTTGTCTCCCACCATTAACTTGGTTACTGAACACACACACACACACACACACACACACACACACACACACACACACACACACACACACACACATAGACAGAGGGAGGTGGAGATGTGCTCGGTTAAACTTGGAAAGCTTTACTTTGCCGGGGATAATAGTCTTCATTCACCCTCTAATGAATCCATATTGCGGCCTTAAGCAGTATCTGCTATTAATACCATTAACATGTAATGGCCCAGAAAGAGATCTTCAGAGACAAAATTGGCCCACCAAACAAAAAGTCTGTATGAGGCAGAAAGGGCACAAAGTCTATGAGTTAAATAAATAAAAAAGAGGAATATAGTTGACTTATAGTTTGCTACACAAACTCTCTTGCCCTGAGAAAGCACCAGTGGGAACCTTCTGTTCAATTCCATTAATCTAATGATGAACAACTGGTTTTCGAAATGTGGAAACCCAACAAAGAAGAAGAAAGTACAGATCTCCCCTGTGTCAAGTTCATCTGTAACATTTTCCATTGTGTGCGCTATTTCAATGCATTATCTATAATAAATGTTACTGCTACGGAATAAAATAAGTAGTATACAAAGACTGAGAGTTTCCAGTTATGCTTTGTACTTAAGCAATATGAATCGCTGAGCTAAATGCTAGCATCAGAAGGCTAACATGCTTGCAACATTTTGGTGTGATAGCATGTGCTAATAAGTGAGTGTCTGAGACTGATAAGAAAGTTATTAAACCCAAATACTGAGAGAGCAACATGTCTGTCGATATCAAGATGCTCCATCAGGCTCCAAAGCAGAATTTGGGACACTACAAGCAGTGAGCAAAGGTGAGAGTGAAAACAAATAGACGCACAAACTAACTCAGGGGGAGAAGTTTGTTGTCTGATATTGTCATTGTCATGTAACAACCTTCAAATTGGCACAAGTGTGCCAATTCTGTCTCTTCTAAAGAGATTTTATTGCTTTGAAAGGCCGGAATGAACAATGCGCCCTAATCACATACTTGTCACCAATTTTGGATCTTTATTGTTTTATTTTTCCAAAGCGGGACTTGCGTGTTTGTGCCATGGCTGTCCTTGAGTGTGTGTGTGTGTGTTTGCAGTTTGCAACATTGAGAGAGAATAGTACAAAGCAAACTCCTGCAATGCAAACAGAATGAATGAGGTTTTGGGTTCAGACTCGCACTCCTGCTCCTTTGAAGATGTTATTCCCTCAGTGTACCACCTCTGATTGCAACTGTACAAAAGGGGAGGGTGGAAGCAAGTGTGTGTGTGTGTGTGTGTGTGTGCGCGTGTAGTGGGGGCAGACGGCGAGAGAGCCTCTTAAAGATTACATTAGAATGAGTAAAACGGGAAGAAAATTGTAATGTGGATCATCAAAGTGACACGGCAGAGTGCCTTTGCCATATTATTAACCCTGCAACCTTTTCTTTTGTTATAGCCTCATGTGACTCATTAGACAGGTCATTGTCTCACAGGCGCATGTCAATATTTCATTGGCCGTATGCATAATTCGACAGTTAAATCAGAACAGCCCTTTCAAATGAGAAAGGAACTATTATATATATTTTATATCAAATGTGACCACAGGATGAGGAAGAGGGGAACAGACAGCTCATGTGCTAAACTTGTCATGGAAAGATATAATCCATACTTAAGGGAGATATTCAGCATTTTTCTACCTATATTCTTTTCCCCATGTTTCTGACTAATGAGCACAACAACTTTTAGAAGCGGTTCCCTTATTGAGCTACAACTCTGCAGCCAGCAGCGGCAAACAGAGCCGCTGTGTTTTAAATCGGGCGATTCCTCACAATCAATGTATGTCAATTAAAAGCGTAATCGTTTTCCTCACTGGCTCAGAATGTGATTAAAAGTGTCTTATGCAAAGGACCCTACAGAAGTGTAAATCATTGCCTCCACCCTTCAGTCTTTCTTTATGTCATTTTAAGACGCGCCGCTGCAGCCCATCTCTCAAATCCTCACTCATGTCTAAAGCGTCCCAAGGCAACGAGTCACACATGACATGACAAAACAACAGGACGGATCAATCCAAAACTAAAGAAAAATATTCTAGTAAAGTCCTTTTAAAAATGTTGGCCGACATTGACAATGACGATCGGAACATTTATGTGCAAAAACAAGCATTTTGCCCACATGGACACAGCACTGAATAATATGGTCACATTTTCTCGAGCTCAAGAGGCTACGGGACAAATTAAAAACGTGGTCCTCATTAGACCCAAAAATGAGTAAAAATAAGGTCACGGTTTGAAATAACAAGGTTGTCCTTCATAAGAACTCCTGCTACCCTGAATGCCATCTGTTCTCTCTCAATTTGTATTTGAGCTGATTTATATCATTTTCTACTTTGTGAAATCTATCTCACTTTTACAGCAACACAGACATTACAGCAAAGAACAACGTCGCTCATGTATAACTAATAACATAATTAGCAGATGGCAAAAGTATTTATTTGACCACAGGCAGCAAAGCCCACTGAAAATAATACATCTTGGATGTCAGTGGTTGGAAATAAATTCCATCTTTTCAGTGTAGTGAACTTGTGCACATCATAGGTATTCCCCCACGAGAGCCCTCTATAAATGATCAATTGATTCCAGTATCATAATTTGCTCAGTTTCCAGTGACCTTTGTGTGCATCTAATACATCCTCTCTGTACATCTACTGTAACTCAAGAATGCTGATCCATAAAGTAGAAACTGACTTAAATTGTAAATAAATACCACAAAACTTTTTGTGTTTTTCCTGTTGAGGAATTGTTGCTCATCGGCGCAATAATTATATTCTCAAAACATCACATAATCTGATACAATAAGGTTTATGATCTGCGAGTAACATGAAGACATCACATGGAGTGCACCAGCTATAAAACCCCCCACCCTATTTTCTTTCCTTCTCTCCGTACCTCTTTCATTAATTTCTCCCACTATCTCGCCCTCCATCGCTTCGCTTCGTTGCCGTTCCATTACTCTCACCGCGTCTATTAATTAGTCCACATCTTCAATGTTGCATGTAATAATCAAAGGTGATGCAGATATTAGAGCGATAAACAGAATTCTTCAGTCAATCACTTTAAATTTGCCTGAAGATTAGAAGATGGATTAACTTCTGCCTGGCTGACGTCCAGACAGACAGAGCACAGCTTCTGCAGCAAATCCAATATGCCAGTTTAATCTGTTCCTTCATGTCTAAAAAGACACTTCAAAGTTACAATGATAATGCATCCGAGTTTACTGTTGACATTTCAGAATGACGTACAGTATTATCCGTCATAGACGCCTGTAACTTGCCTTTCCTGCATTAAGGTCATATTCATTTTCATATCCATTTCATTTCAATGCACAGGGGCCCTCAGTTTAACTAGATAATTGAGGAATTGTCTATACGGCATGTCTGTGGTTAATTGGAGGGTCCAGGGTGCACTAAACAGACAAGGAGAACAGGCAGGGGTAATTACCAGTACTGTGTGTGTGTGTGTGTGTGTGTGTGTGTGTGTGTGTGTGTGTGTGTGTGTGTGTGTGTGTGTGTGTGTGTGTGTGTGTGTGTGCGTGCAAAGGTGCTGAGGCAACTGCATCAGCAAAAAGTCAATTACACACTAGACATGAAATAAATAATACAAAATCCTATCATTGCGTTTCCCTACCGACACACGGAGTAGATTATATCTGATGTCGTCACTAATGTTGCAATTCTCGGGATACAGACCCGGACAAAAGACCACATTCCTTCAAAGTTACAGGAGCTGACCTCTGCAACTTGTATTTATCTTGCTCTATAAAACATTTGCACCCTGTCCTGACGCTTCCTTGGAGCCGGGGGCTCATCCAGTGCAATGTTTGATGTTCCTGAACCGATCCCCGCAGACACATTACTCACCCTCACCCTGTCAGTGCTTTGTCTACAGGGCACGCGTAATAAAGAGGAGAGAGAATTGAACACAAGGGTACAGAGCAAATCATTAAACATTTTTCTGTTACAGAGAAAAAAATCACTACTTCCAGAGCCAGGGCTCCCATTGGGAGGCTCAGGTCTCGATGGTTTTACTGGTTAGGTAATTGTAACACCCTTTCTCAGCAGACATTTTTGTAAATGTACTTGGTAATCCTCACCGAAAGCTGCTATTGGCCACATTGTACCGCTTTACAGTATTTTTATCTCTTGCCAGAATTTTTGCAAAGGGTGAAAAAGTTAGTGTCTCTTAAGTAGCAGCTGGCAAAACTGAATTGAAAAATTCTTAATATGTGAGTGCAGCTGCAGAGTAGAGCTTAGGGCAAAATGCATTCTAACTCGTGGAGTTTAAAAGATGAAAACTGTGAAGAAATATGTTAATATTTGGAGTAGGAACAAGGCCGGAAAGCAAAATCCCATATTTTTTCAACTTTACAAAACAAACATCAATATTGCCGCACTTCTAATTTGTTTTACCGAATGCTGGAGTGAAAAAGTCAAGCATGCTGTTTTTTTGTTTTTTTGTCACTCCATTGAATTCTTTCATGTAATAATTAGTTATATTGCAGATTATGAAACTCCAAGCAATTAGCATTTTGTAATTAAATTTATGATATGTCATTCTATTCCACACTCCGTGTTCATATTTCCGCATGTGTGTTTGTTTGTCTCAGATGAAGATGAAGTCCGCGGGCGTCGTGGACGGAGGCTTGTTCACAGAGAGCTATTGTAACATCTGCAATGCCCAGCTCATCTCCGAGTCCCAGCGCACCGCTCACTATGAGGTGAGTCCGTCTCTGCCCCAACGGGAGTGTTTGCACGAAACAAGCTGAAGACTGACAACCACATTCCTGCACTCTTCACTTCTTACCGCATTCCAGCCTCATTTGTACCAATTTGGTCTTTTGCCATTTCTAAGCAGCGCTAATCCATTATACACAGACTTAATGCAGCGTGGTAATGCCACTCACTCGCAAACAAACAAACGCACACGCACATATTCTTGCTCAAATGTGGTCCACCTCTCTGCAGACTCCCTAAGAGTAATTTAATTAAAGCCCACTCAATAATCAGCCCTTATTTAACTAGAGGGAGTGTGTTTGTGTGTGCGTGCATGCGTGCACCGCATTGAGATTGTCCTTGATTGCAAGACACAATTGGGATTAACAAGCGGACAAATGAGGGCAAGACCCTTATCTGGGGAGAATCAAGCAGGGACAACGGCTGTGTGTGTTCATCGGAAGGATCCCTCGTGCCCACCAACACAGAAGCACACCGCCTTGAGTTGTGCAGAGAAATGTGCGCGCTGAGTCAGTGCAGTGCGTTTTCTTCATTGTCACGCTTTCTAAAAGGTCTCTGTGGAGGCCGGTAGATCAAGGAGACAGGCCAAGAAATCATTGGAACACAAGGAGTTTTTGTGTGTTAGTTTCAATAGAGACACAACAACAGGCTAAAGAAAGGAGCGCTATCGCGGGGGTGTGAATTATTGACGAGTACCGGGTTCTGGAGTCCTTCCTCGCTCCACTGGCAGCAACGCTCCTTCATAACTACCAAAAACACCAGTGGAAATATTGTGCAGATCAGCAATTTCGTTACAATGAGTGGTAGAGGCCAGTTTTAACTCAACTTGATTCTAAAAAAGAAAAAAGAAAAGACAGAGACATGCACAGTCCATTAGACTGAGGGTCACAGCAGGGTAACCATGGTGACACAAGGTCCCGTTTTTAGACCGCATCCTAGAGCCATCCACAGCATGACCATTTATACACCTATAAACATAAACACACACTCACACAAGCGCTGACACACTGAATTAAAGTAGTCTGACAAGTGAGGAGGCCTGTGAGGTGGAGGGAGTGTGTTTGTGTGTGAGAGATGGGGAGGGGGGGGGGATTCTAGTCCCGGGGGGCAGAGAATCTAATCTAAGCACCGGAGCAGCGATTACAGTGTCAGAGTCTCCTTTTCGCTTTCTTTACGTCCTGTTCAGCCATGATATTCATTCAAACTAAAGATCTTGAATAGATGACAACAGAACATAATTCCATCGATCATGTGATCCACCTGAGTAGTGAACGTTGAAGTGATGCCTTCACAGTGATCCCGACATAATGAATAAAATCAATCCCTTTTTAGTTTTTGACTAATGATGATTCCCAACCACGATCTAACTTGTATCCCTGCACTCTGTTGTATAATAATGCAAAAGTGACAAATCTCTTTGACATTGTCGACGCTTGATCCTGAAAAAATGAACCGATGAATTTATAGATAATAATAGTTCTTATGTGGTAGAAAGGAGTGAAGGTCAACCAGCATGGCAATAAAAAAAGGAATATATATCAAGCAAGATAGCTGTCAACCTTGGAGACAAACACAGAGCTGTCTCAACACATAAACGTGCACTAATCTTACTCCCTGCAGTCTGTCCAGTGACTTTCAGCGTTTGCCGTTAAAGTGACAGCAAGAAGCATCAAGGACGGCTCAATGTTCTCATAACAAACTAGTGCACGTTTATTATCTTATTACAGATAATACAGACTGTAACAGAGGCAAATATTAATTTAATTACACTGTGTTAAAAAGGTCATCGTTCACTCAAAACTTATATTTATTTTAGCTTTGCTGTGAAAATAGTTTATACCAAAATGAACCTTTAATATTCTACATTTAAACATTATGTAATAATTTACTTATAAAATAGTTATTTTTAGTGGAGACTGAAGGCATTACAATGTGACTGAATGCAATTTATACTGATGAATTATATGATGATGTGACCAGATTGGCGTATCGAGGGTATTTTTATTTTTTAATTACTACTTTAAGTTTTTTAAGTGTTGCATCCTATGTACATTTTAAGGCACCGGGATACTATTGTTTCACTGAACTCTCCAAATGATTGCCTCACTCTATGGGCCGAGCGCAGGACTATGCATTTAATTCAGAACCACTTCCCCCCATCCCACCATCTTCATCAGGGCTCCCAGAGAGCCGGGGCCGGTCTGGCCATTAGTCAATTAGCCGAGCGCAAAACTGTCTGCGAGCATCATCAGCTAAAACAGAGATGGAAAGCTTGCAGGCAGCCAGTAGCCAAGCTGGATTGATAATTATGGATTTCTTTCCCCCTCACTTGATGAAAATAAAACTCAGTTCATTGGTTAACACCTTTTCTCTCTCTCTCTCTCTCTCTCTCTCTCTCTTTCCCAGAGTAAGAAACATGCCAACAAAGTGCGTCTCTTCTACATGCTTCACCCTGAAGACGGAGGACCACCTTCCAAAAGACTGCGGCCAGATAACCCAGTATGCTCCCACTGAGTGTGTGTTTCCGTGTCCGTTCTGCACAACACACAGTGTGTAGCTTTGCAGACTAATTAACCAACTAAGTGGACTTTTTTGCAGTGTAAACACACACAGAAGTACGTGTTAATGCTGCAAGTAGTTACCTACTGAAATGTGTGCGTTTGGAGTGTGTGTGTCATGGGTTGGCGAATCCTGAGCCCGTCGACTCGCAGGCTTTGCCGTTGCAGTCAAACACTCGTGGGAATATTCGTTTGATCTGTCGTGCGCAGTTGTGCGCTGTAATTCTCCCAGAAGAGGTTACGCCTTCGCCGTGGTGTTTCTGCACAGATTTAGTTGAGTCGGACGCCACCAAGCAGCTTTTTTTTTAATCGGGCTATTGCAGGCTACGGCTGGGGAGGTCAGCGCATTACAGATGATTGTGTGTCCGCCCGTGTGCGCGTGCTTTAGGTTGGACCATTGTGACTGTATATTTTCTAGAACCCCATCCTGGAATTTAAGCCAATGCCGAGGATGACAGTTGTGTCCACAGGCACATGTTTGAGATTCTGGGATTCTGGAAGCACGACTCTTATTTAGGGGCTGAATTAAGAACTTAATTTGCGGCTCTTTGTGTATTTGGGTGAATGTGGCCAATGCATCTGAGGTATCAAGCCATAATACACAGACACACACACACAGACACAATACATATGGTACAGAGAGAGAGAGAGAGGAGAGAAGGGGAGAAGCGCCATGACGTCACCCATTGGTTGGTGGACTGCCGATATCTTGGCTTTTGGTAGCTGTAAGTGATGCAAGGGGGTGAAACTAAGTTCAACCTTATACGCTGAACAACAAACCCTTTGGGGTGGGAGTTATTTGTTTTGGTCACTAAACACCAGTATGCAACCTGTCCAGGATCATTGCATACTGTATAACTGAAATAAACACCCGCCGTTATGTATCTCAATAAACTATCTGAACCATCTTTCTGAACTCAAGCACTTAAGGAGGTGGTGAACGTGCACCAGACTGCAGAGAATTAGGTGTAGAAAACATACTCACTCACTGTAGAAATATTCACACCTGCGTCTCCATCTGTCTAAGTGAATAAGACATGACTCAGCCCCTCCTGGCTTTCACCTCATATGGGACACAATACACAAACAGACCATATGCACGCACACACACACACACAGACGCGGTCATCTGCCGTGCTGTGAGCACCACAGCTAGCGGTTTGTTCATAAACTTCCATGCAGAGATTTGACATTGATTATCTTGCAATGCCAGAAAAACTGACATAAGACGAACAGTTCTGCAGGGATGAAATTCTCACCACTCGATTTGGGATGAACTTTTCTGCTTCCGCATCTTTCATCTTTTTTTTTTTTCTCCCAGGGGAAGATTTGCACGTCTTCTCTCTCTGCACTTCATCTCTCATCATGTGTTTTTGGCCCTATTTCCTCGCATTGATTGACGTGGTGCAGTCCGACGGGAACAGTTGAAAAGGATTTTTGCAGAGGGAACGAAGTGACGGCCTCTGGCCGGTGTGAAATGCCACGGCTTGAGATGTGTGTGTAGGTGAAAGTGTTTGTCACAGAACAAACACAGAGAAAGTAGGTCGCGGAGGGAGGAAAAGGGAAGAGGAATGTAACCGTGTTTTGACCCTATTTTCCAACCTACTCTCTCTGTTTGTGCAGTTTTCTACCTGCAGAAAGGAAAGGAGATGACAAAACACTTTCTTCTTCTCATTTCTTCTAATGCTAAATTTGGCCCTTTCAATTTACACTTTCAGCGCTTCTTCAAACCCCAAATGAGACCGTCTGTTTCCCTGTGCTCCTCCATGTGTATATTTAGCAATGTTTCCCACTGTGCAAGTAGTATGCAAGAAGTAAGGAGGAGCAGAGGAAAAAGAAAAACAGAAGGAGAAGAAGATTAACGCAGCTAATTAGGAGTCTATTGTTAGGTGCATGAGCAGGATAAAGCCACCCAAACAGAATATATTCTGCGATACAGGCACACTATCTGGCAGCGGATAAACAGGCATACGTGCGTGAGACATACTCATCAATTAAGTAGCATTAAAAATAAATCTCAGCAAATCTGGGATGGAGGAAAAGTAGACAGCTAGTCAAGAGTCAGAGCTGCCGTTTATTGTTTGAAGTGGAGTGGCAGCTGTAACGAGCTGCCAATTATTCACGTGTCGGTCACCCACACGCGCTTGAGATTGATTCAAACTTTCCTTGGCCAAAGCTCCTCGCGTGGCATCCGTCAACGAGCGAGCGGGTTTGCATTACGGTGTGTTTTGACAGGTGAGAGGACTGCAAACCGCGTCTAAGAATCATCTCGGCCTTTTTGTCCAAAAAACAAAAAAACATGCAGCTGTGGGACTCGCGGTGGATTTTTCCCTCAACAGCGCTGCGCATGGGAGGGAAGAAGCAGACAAAGTATGCAAAGAGCCAAGTGGAGGGAAAGAAACATAGGATTAACAACTAAAACATCAGGTTACATTTTAGTGGAGGTGGAGCAGAACAAGGAAATACAAATAAAATGCACAGGGGAGAGGAATGGATGGAATGAGAGGGGGGGGGGTGATCTCCTATTGCCTGATGCAATCCTGAATAAAAATAAGGAGATAGATATACTGTAAGCGGTTTTCTACATTACATATAAACACACTCACAACCAAACAAACGGGCACAAACTTCATGAGTTAATAAAGCGCTACAAAATGAATTTGTACCAATCGAGACATAAAGAAATAAATTGTGTTACTGGTGTATTGAGGAGGGGGGGGAGTTCAGAGCAAGCCTTTAACAGGATCACAGCAGGGACAGACACGGGGGAGGAGAGTAGGCAAGGAGAAGGAGCGGGAGGAGGAGAGGTGGTGTCGAGGGCCTGCCAATACAGATAAATGTTTCATCCCACAACACACAGAGTCACTGAGACTTGTGCCCAGAGGGAGAGGGAGGGGCCCCGAGACACGGCCTCCACGAGAGAGTCAAGGCAAGGGACAAAAAGACAAAACGCAAGAGAAGAAGAGAAGAAAGATTGAGAGAAAGGGAGCGACGGGACAGCTGAGAGACAAAGCCTGGGAGGTAAAGGTGTCCTTAACTCTCCCATCCGCTGTCCGTGATGCTGAGCTGTGCTGACACAAGACACACACACACACTCACACACACACAGGCACATTGACACGCCGCACAAACTCTCGTATACTTAGATTTGGTGTTGCAGACACTTCTATTATTGTCCTCTATTTCCAACGTGATCTCCAAAACCTGTTCGTAAAAATGTATACAAAAATCTTGAACATACAAATTCTTAACAATACATAGGAACTGGCGGTGGGTAACCACGCCCCTTCAGTGAACAACATGGCGGACCATGTTGGATTCTTGAGTGAACGTCTCTCCGCCATGTTGGATTTTTTGAGGGGGTTAGGGTTAGTATTGTATTCTTACAATTTAACATTGATTTCTCGTTAAAAATCATAACACGTTTATTTTACATTGTTAGACTTCACAAAGTGTGTTTACGGGGTGCAGGTCCCCATTCACTTTGAATAGGGTGACATCATCAGTTGCAGTCCGTATTTATTTACTATGTATCACTACGAATTTGTATGTTCAAGATTTTCGTATACATATTTACGAACAGGTTTTGGAGATCAGGCTGCTATTTCACAACTGGACTTGAGAAAGAAAGCGTTGTGCTGGAAAAACAGAGAAAGTAAATAAAAGGAATTCAGTGGAAGCAGCGAGAGACTGGCGAGGAATAAGCGCCTGGATGAACATGAGACGGAGCAGGTTAAATATGTGCAGAGAGAAGAAGAAATAAGCTGTGAAAGTGTCGAATATAAAAGGTCGTACTGAGAGCCGGAAATACTGCTTGTGTTTTAAAACATTTTTTTGAGCACATTACTTTTATTCACACACTGGCTGCCTGACATCACAACCATATGTGATTGTTTTTCTGCCGGATCTCATTCCAAAACCGGTGTTATTCATTAATATGCTGCTATCGCTGCCTCCACTCCTCTTAAAAGTCTGGGCGGTCACCATTTACCTCAATTTAGCCACAAGAGCATTGGTGAGTCCAGGGAATGACGTCCGATGACCGGCGAGGCCTGTGCTTTATCCCCAGTGAGTTGGACTTTCTCTCCAAAACTAGGAGGATGAGCCTTTCTAGAAAACAATGGGGACGAGAAATGTCTCTTCCTAAAACTGTTAAAGTCGAAAGATTTAGCGTTTCGATTTCATTGAACTGGAGGCTTAAGGAGCTTATAAAAAACACTCTAATATGTGTACTTAAATAGTGTCTGTCTCTGTAAGCAGATCTCTGCTATTCCCCTGCTCTGCTAAGTCAACAGTCTATTATTTACAGGATTTTCAGGTGATTCTTCTTACGTTTTGTGGGCATAAGTGTAAGTTTGAAGTAGAGGTGCTATGTTTTCAATCATCTTTACTGGGTTTTTCAGCTGATTTCTCAAAATGACTGCACTGTCATGCAGTAGATGGTTGTTTTTGAATTTTTGTCTTGAGATGAGTTGTTTTTCTCTTACTGGTGGGCAGAAACGAACAGAAGAAAAAGATAAAGAATCATGTTTGCGTGTATGTTTTTGTGTATTTTATACATTTGTGTCAATCAGGCGGTTGGTCGTTTTGTTTGTGTTCCTTACCCCCCGTGGGGAGCAGCTCTCCCTCATCATTAGTAATGAACCATCAGGAGCCAAGCCACAGTCCTGGCCCAGAGAGACGGATGAATATTTTATCAGCCTTTCCCTTTGCTTTTGTCTGAGCGTGTGTGTGTGTGTGTTGGGTGTGTGTCAGTCTTTGTGTGTGTGTGTGTGTGTGTGTGTGTATCTCAAAGGGAAACCGGCGAGGCCCAGGAGGTCCGTCATCTCTCATCTCCACCTTTGCCTCTTCTCTCCTCTTCTCACCTTCACCTCCCTCCACCTCTCTTCTCACATCCCCCCGTTCTCCTGGACCACTCCCGCTCCTCTTTTCCACCCGCGTTCACACTCGCCCCCACTGTTGGTTCCATTTGGGTCTCGTGACACATCTCCCCTCTCCACCACTCACTCTCACCTCCTTCTCCCCCTCCTCTCCTACCGTAGGACTGCGCGGAGACAGAGGTGGACAGGAACAAGTGCTGCACCTTGTGTAATATGTTCTTCACCTCCGCCATCGTGGCCCAGTCGCACTACCAGGGCAAAACCCACGCCAAGAGAGTCCGCCTGGTGCTGGGGGAGCCGCCTCGCACGCCCACAGCCACGACCAGCCCGAGCAACACAGGTATCTGCAGCCTGCTTCCCGTCCCGCTGTCTGATGATGGTTTCACAGGGACACAGACGTGTTTTCGGTCCGCCAAGCACCGATGATGTTGCCTTCGGGTAGTTTGTGATGCTTTCAGGCTCTGGTCGCTGAGTATTGGACAAAGGAAAATCATAACGTTATTATGATGTCTTGACATGTAATCTCGTAAAAATCAAAGGGGATAAACAGTTGTTTAACGCAGCAACGTGAATAGATATGAGAGAGAGAATTACGCTTCACAACACTAAGCAGCTTATAGTCATCATTAAAACTGCAAATGACATCATTTGATTTCATTACTAAAACAACCATCAGAGCAGTTGAGATCATTTTTTGTGGGAAGGACATATTTTTTGGAGCCTTTTACTTTTCGGTGTGTTTCGACAGGTGAGATGTCACTGCGGTTGAGTTCTCCCAAACCTGCTACAACAATATTCGAGTAGAACAAGATCTCGACAGCGCTGCCCATGGGAGGGAAGAAGCAGGCAAAGTCTGCAAAGAGGGAAGTGGAGGGAAAGAAATATAGGATTAACAACTACGGCCTAAAGTAGACATTTTGGTGGAGCAGAACAAGAATGGATGATAATGAGGAAGTAAAGACAATGCATAGCGGAGAGGAATGGATGGAATGAGAGGGGGTTTGTCCTCAAGGGCACTGACTGAGCCTTTTATAGCCAAACAACAGAAAAGAGGATGTGTATTGCGAATATGGATCCAAATGCTGGCCGGGGGTCCTTTAAAAGTTTGTTTTGTTTTTGTGAAGATTTTATCCGTAATCTATTTGGCACCCGTTGATTTTGTGACTATCAATCAGATTTGTTCAGCTACTTTTATATGAAGATGAAAAGATGACACATATGATCCATAAAACATCTGGGCACAAACCGGTGCTTTGGTGATTGATCAACCCTTTATTACATCTATTGGATTTCGATGTTGATGTTTTCACACAGAGATTTTCCTCCCTGAAGACCCCGGTAATTAACTCGGTCCGGAGAAACAAACCCTCAGCTCTACTTGCACACGCTCGAGTCAGATACATTCACGACATGTCACTGGAGGGAAATCTATTTTAAATTCAAAGCAGACATGAAAGTGGATTTGGAAAGCTTTAGTCGTGCGTCAGTCCAAACCTCTGGCCTTGATACCAGAAGCGTACGTCAGTTAATATTAAAATGCCCAAGAAGTAAAACTTTGAAGGTGAGGCACACAAGCAGCTGGCTCTTATGTTTAGTTCAAAAAATAATAAAAAGATAATAAAAAGATCACATTAACAAATTGAGACATCCATATATTCATATTTTTGTTCGTGATCATGATTGTTTAAGATTAGCTCCGTGTTATTGTTATTTTTAAGTGTCAGTGCTTGTGACTCGTCTCCAGGGGAGCTTTACATAATGTGATTCAAACTGGATTCAAAGTGAAAATTCACAGAGCTATAAACACACAAACGCTACAAAATGGAATGTTATAAATAATCTAGCCCTTGAGTGACTTTGTCAAACTTTGGCCTACTTTGGAAGAATGTCACGGCGGTAGAGCCTGTTTAGCCGTGGAGTTGTGTGGTTTTGTGACAGTGCAACCTGGAGGAAAAGGAAAGGAAACAAGAGAACAAGAGCAGGAATGGAGAAGACTGACCTGGGAGAGAAGAAACGGATTTCAGGAAAGATTAAAGTCAAAAGGAACCTTCATAATCACTCTGAAATGAGCGCTGTGCAAACGATGCACAGCTGAGCCGACAGGCTTCTGCACACACGCACACACATCGACACAATTGTCAGGAAAACGCACACGCAAGATGATTGATGCGTGCGCATTCATTCTAGACATTTACTTGCTTGTCAAGACACATGGGTACTAACATACTAAACACACTCAAGGATGTATGAGCTGCAGAAGCCCTTGAGAGGTTGGAACGCAGAGACTGTACCTGTGGTCCCTCCCCTTTCACACATACACACACACTATCACGCACACTCCCAGTGCCGCGCTCCATGAAACAACACTTACTTCTGCTCCAGTGTGCAGAGATCACAGTCATGGGAAAACGAAAGGGTTGGGAAACAAGGGATGGAGAAAAGAAAAAATACACCCGAGGATCTCTTCTTGTTGCTGCTCAGCACGGCGCTGCTTCACCGAGCTGTCAGTGCTCAGGAGCTTCACTCATGCACACACACACACACACACGCCGGGATGTTGTAGCAGGGCTTTTAGAATGGCCTCGTCTTGGAGATTAATTTCAGAGGAGTGAAATGACAGTAGAAGAGTTAAAGGGTCGAGGTTTTGTAAGCAAGATGATGAGTGTGGCAAAGGCAGTGTGAGCGAGCGTGGGGGTGAGACGAGCGGAGACAGCCATAGATACAGTAACTATGTGAACCGAAGACACATCAAGGTGCCGGCAGCCAATCAGCGTGCAGGGCTAGGACCTATAGTCAAGACAGCCACATTCACCCCACGAAATATACATAAACTAGCACACCTCGCACACACTGGTCCGTTCGTTATCCGTGAGCTGATGGTTGTTGTGAGAGAAGAAGTGGAGTGACTCATTTGGGTGCTTTAAAGCGTGTGTGAGTGGGCTTGTGACTACGATATGAAATGTTTGAACTTGCTGTATTTTGGCCGGCTGTAGTCATGGTCGTTATAGCTCTATAGTCATTCACACGCTGTACATGGCAAATGGGCACATTTGGACGCGCCATCTGGCATTATGTGTTTTCTCACACCATTTGGCTGCGGACTTGACGCCCCACCAGTATGACAGTTTGGGCAGAGAGGATTTATTTATTGCATGTGCTGCACCTTACCCACAAAAAACAGCCTATTCTGGAGCTTCATTCATGCACAAACACACACACAGATTTTGTCAAGCGTGGATTATGCATTGAATCCGTCACCCAAACACCCACAAGCAAACACAGACACGAGGGCAGGCACACGCACATTTGCAGTCCTCGCCGCGTGAGCTACAACCGCGTCCTGTGGTCAAGCAGTGCCTGTTGGCTATTAATGGCCGATCACCATGGTAACCAGTGTTGTGTCATGAGTAGCAGGTCACCTGGAAGTGTGTCTTTTTTTTTTCATTCCCCAACGGAGAGGAGAGGGGATGTAGTTGAAAAAAAAAGGAAGGTTTCCGAGGTGAAGTAGATGTGAGTAGAAGCACTTGCACACTCTGCCCTGGAGTCCTGATGGCTGATGTTCCGCAGATGTGACCTGCAATCTATGACTCTTTCAAAACTCAAAGTGTAAAACCCGAGAGAAGGACATGCGTTGGAGTGAAACATTTTCAAATTATTTGTCGTTTAATTTTTTTAATCCGTCCCCGTAAAACCGCAGAGATGCTTCAGATTTTATGTTTCAAATGATAACTTCCCCTCTCCCTTCTCTCCCCCCCTCTTCCCCCTCCTGCAATCCCTTAACCCTGACCCCTCTCCTCTACCTCCCCGCCAGACTCCTCCCCTTCCACCCCGCTGCCCGCAGACCCCGCCGCCTGCCCTCCTCCCACCCCGGACCGGGCTTGGCCCCTGGCGGTGGTCGGCGGAAACGGCGGAAGAGAGGCTGGGAAATACTGCTGCCTGTGCGGAGCCTGGTTCAACAACCCTCTGATGGCCCAGCAGCACTACGAGGGCAAGAAACACCGCAGGAACGCCGCCAGAGCGCGACTCCTGGAGCAGCTGGCGGGCAGTCTGGATGCCACGGAGAGCACAGGTCAGCCTCTCGGGCCCCCGAGCCCAAACGCAAGGGAAGGGCAGGAGGGGCGTTACGACTTTAAACGAGGAAAGGCGATAAGGGGGGAGATTACGTTTCGAGGTGAAATGTTCGTATGCCTTTCAATGTGGTGCACCTTTCACAGATAGTTCACCGAGGTCGGTCACACCACCTATCCACGGATGAAATTAGCACCATCAGCCGGTGTGAGGAGCAGCTTGTTAACGTTCACTCGACATTTGTTCAAAAACACATGTTCAACATAACCGACTCCAAAATGATTCCATTAACTCAGTCCAGAGGTTCGATCTCGTCTAATGTCCCACTGTATGAACTCTACACTAGAATGCAATCTAAAAACTGAAAAGAAGAAGTTTCTATAGCTCTCTAGAAGTCATCCAAATATAAACATAATCGAATTGAATAGGAACTCCACTACTGTTATAAGTCAAAGTGAAGTAAGCTGGTTAAAACAGTTGATATCATTTGCGGCCCAGAAAGCGTTTTTTGTGACACTATCGAGTTGCATCAGCTTTCGTTTGGAGGCTACAGATGTTTAATAGAAAGCCTTTGTATCAGAGCGGAGCATGTCGATTCTAAAGCACGGGAGATTAATAGGTTTGGATCAAACGAGAGGACACGTTCGCGCAGGAGCCAACATGTTTGGTGCTTGAGCCTTTCAAGTAGGGACGGACCCGGTCAGTAAATCGGCATCTGCTTCATCAACTCTGACCATTGCAATCTCCAAAAAATGTATAAAAATGTAATGCTGAATCATCACTTTGGAAGGTATTTACTTGGTAAATAATGTCAAGGCTTGTGCCCGTATGAGGGAAGGGCTTGACACACACGTTGTTATTGGCATCTGTTTGCTGTTACAGTGTAACAGTTGTCTGGGGTCACCGTCCCCTCGGCATGTCTCTGCTTCTCAGTGCTAGCGTTGCAATGTGTGGCATGCTGCATGAAGCATACAACTACTGCATCCCACACACCATTACAAAATCAAGAACTTAAGCAAACGATTCATTTGAAATGGTTTCTTAATGTTCTCATTCTTAATTGGTAAAATTGAGTTAAACAGTTATCATAGTGAGTATGTAATTACTGCTCTCTCCCTTAAGGTCTATTCCTCTCCCACACAAACACTTACACGCACAAATGTAGCAGTAAGAGGACACACGATTTAATACACAGTCCTAATTGAAACACGAATAGTCTTTGGCAGAGAAAATTATTTTGTTTTGGTTTTTCCTATAACTGAAATCGGCCAACGTCGTCCTGCTGCGTCACACACACACACACACACACAGGCACAAAACACCTCCACCGCGCACACAAACAACTATGAATATCCTCGCAGTTCGCTTTGCGCTCCCGGTGCCATGACACAAACCATCATCTCAAGAAGCCAATCATATTAAAAGCATGAGTCATGTTACCGCCTACACTCGCTCAAAGGCTATAAGTGGTGTCATGTTGTATATCGTCCACCTTCCACACACTGTGACCCAAATCCTCACAAACCTCAGCTGCTTTTTGGAAGGTTTTGACCTCAAATCTCAGTATTTAACTACCGACATTTTTTGAGTATACAATATTTTTTTAATCGCAGGTACTTTTAATAGATCTCTTGTTCAAGGGCGACGAAGTGAGCTCGCCTCTGACACGCGCTCTCACAAGTGCCCTCCACCAAGTGTTTGTTCGGGCGAATTTAGTCTGAAACACTTTGCTCGTCCCATCGCAGCTCCATCGTGCCATTTGTTCTTCTCCAGTTAGACACACGGCACATGACCCCGGTACGTCTCGCCCGGTGTCATCTGAGAGGGAGGGTCCAAGTTGAGGCTGCAACTGGGCAACAAGAGACGAGGAGGCGAGGAATTCTGTGTCAGCCAAGTGCAGACTCGCCTCCGTCCTTTTGTCCTCCTCATTCAGTTGTCCAACTGTTTCGTCTTTACACCCTTGTTCCTTTCAACCCCCCCCCCACACACTTCCTGCTGCCGTACTCTCTTGTGTTCGCTGTAGCTCTGGTTGTGTTGTGTGAAAGTGTGCGTGTGTGTGTGTGGGTGCATAATCTCTCGTCATGTCTCATCTGTCATCCTAATTAGATCCCCACGAAGCACGGGTGAATTATTTGCACACCAAGGTATCCTTTCCTTCCAAACTATGACTAGTCTTTCTGGCATATTGTCTGCTTGGCTCCTATTGATGAGACTGACCTTTACTCGCAAGAGCATCTTCTCTATTTGTCTCTCCCCCCATTTCCTGCCGCCGCTAACGCACCATCTCCACTGAAACATACCACAAAATCCCCATGACATTTATATCAACACTTTTTCGCACTCCAGGATTTTCCTGGTGTAATTGCCCTGACAGGGCACAGTGGAGAACAAGATTTTTCGTTATTTTTCCACAACTAGGTGCCAGACGAAAACCCTTGGAGATGGATTTCCGAGGTGGACGGGGCGATGGGGGAGAGGGAGGGAGGGGGGTGCGAGGCGGCTACTGACGAGGGAAGGAGCCGGCTCACTCGTCTGTGTTATTACATAAATCACCATGGGGGGTAAAACAAAACTCCTGAAAGAGCCGGGGCGCATTGTCCCTTCTCCCTGGAGACGGAGTAGTTAATTAGGATCGGTGAGATAAGCGTCTAGGATGGCAGAGTCTCCGTGAGACTTCTTTACAAACAATATGTACCGATGGTGTTGCAGATACCGGACTTAGATCCCTTCCTTTAAAGACATTAGTGACCATTATAAAAGCAACCATTTATTTTAACTATGGTTGAACTTTACGGACCATTTTAGAAGGTTTTAAGTTCATTGTTAACACCCTGTAATGTCTTGCTTCACTCTCACAGCTCTCCTCAGTGTTAATTGCAGCGGCTGCTATTTAAAGTCGCTGAATCCTACCAAATCAACACCAATTGGCGGACAGGCACAGTCGGTAATGAGCTGGGGGAGTAGCGAGGGACGCATTGCATTTGCTTAGACATGAGGGAAGTGAACATTGGACACATCTTGCATATGTTACATTGCGTCAGCTATACCTGTAAATAAGGGACGGTTTGGCAATATCTTTGCATATGATCATTGTTTGCATAAGTCTATGTTGCCAGTCAGAGTCAAAAATTGAATTTTCATTTATTTACGGCTTTAACAATGATTAAATTAGCAATTTTATTTTGTTCATGATCTTTATTTTTGTCTAAAACTGTCTATCCAATTAGTTTAAAGTTTTCTGCAAAGCTAATTAGGTACTGTAAAGTTTGTTGCTTTGTTAAATTCCACTCGGATTAAATCCGACTCTCCCTCACCCTTTGCTCAACCCCCCTCAGCTATGGTATTTGTTATTCCTGTTGCTGCAGACTGTTTTGATTGCATCTCAATGGGCTTCTTTTTGGATTCAGTTCCTTTTTAATCTTGAGAAGCGCATGGTAAATTAATAGTGTACCACAGCACAAGAGCTTTGCAAACGATTATCCCATTATGAATAAGACTATAGATTAATACCATATAGTAACAAATTACAACTTCAGTTCACAGGAAGGAAGTGGAAAATGGAGTAAACTTTACCTTGAAATTATCCACATGTAACGTTATGTGTTTAACGCTCCCTTGGCGCCTTAAAACCATTCGACTATTCAACCAAGAATGATCACGCTACACTGGATTTTTCAATCAGCATTGCTGAGCGCTACCTGTAAACCCTTGCGACTCACAAAATAAAGGCAGCAGTTGGAGCTTGGCAGTGCACTTTGACAGAACAAGGCACCGACACCACGCTTTGAATGGGTCCTTAATGCTGCCTGAGCTCAGACTTTCAATATTTTAGACCCTGCAGGAAGACGTTACATTTGTTTGCAACAAAAATGTCTTGAAAATGTTGTGCACAACATTGCAGGTCATTACTTTTGTGACGAGCATTTAGGCGTCTTCATGCCAAAGGTCCCGGCAAGGCCAGAGGACTCATGTGCAATTAAACAAGAGTAACAAACGGCTCCACACCCACCTCATCAGATCATCTCGCCCCCTCTTTTCGCTCTCACTGGCTCATCTTCTTGTCTAATTAAGACGGCTTATGACCCCATCACGAATACTGCTCATGAACGCACACCAAAAGAAAAGACACATTCACATCCCTCCACTGCATGCTGTCAGTTTTCTTGCACACATACTTTCCTTGCATGCAACTAACAAGGATTAGAACTGCTTTATTAACTGAAAGGACAGTGTCCCTCTGTGTGTGTGTCTGTGTGTGTGTGTGTGTGTGTGTGTGTGTGTGTGTGTGTGTGTGTGTGTGTGTGTGTGTGTGTGTGTGTGTGTAAAAGACTGGCACACACGCACATTTTTCTGGCACCCACACACAAGCTGCAGCATATTGTAGATCAGTGCAACTCTGGCGGGACGTGGTGAGGTGACATCAATCAGGCTAAAAGCAGGGAAGCTGCCCTTGTGTGTGTCCACACACGCGCACACACACACACACACACACGCACACACATACACACACACACACGCACACACACACACACACACACACACGCACACACACACACACACACACACACTCAATTGTGAATACAAAAAGACCTCTTTGTGTAATCCTTACAGCGGTATAGAATTACAAGGGAAAGCGAAGAAGAACAGGAGAGTTAATCATTAATCTTTTTTTTGCCTAATTATTGCTTCATTAATTATTGGGCATTTTAATCAGCACAGACAGAAACATTTTTTGTCAGAAAAAAACTATTTTTTTCTCACTTTGTCACACAGCCAGACTATAACTCATAATAGATGCAAAATGTCAATATTTAAACCGAGATTTACACCCGGGTAATTATTCGGTTGGAGGCTAAATGACTGTTTGTACTTAATCACCGCTAAAAAATACAAAGCGACTCTGACAACGTGTGGTCGATATGCAACATTATGGAGCTGTAGTCCACTCTAGACGACCGACCCAACACTCCATCACAATCAAGTCTCCCATCATGTTTCACCAATTACCGCAACAGAAGGTCAAAAAGATGATGGAATACACAGACTCATAAATATCAAGGGCGGTGATGCTGGCCCGAGAAAAGGGCACCCACACACAAGTAATCTCACCCGATTTCAGTCACCTCAAAGTTACACGTTCATCATTAAAAAAAGAGGAAAATGAAGAAAAAGGAAAAACAAGCTTGGGGAGAGAGAGAGAGAGAGGGCTTCAAGGAATTAGTTTTTCACTGTTTTGTCATACAACCCTGGAGTGTCAAGGTGGTTCATCTCTGAACTGAATTCTGCAGTGCGCTCAATGTGAGAAAACAGAAATAGCACTTCAGTGCACGTCTGACAGCCAATTATGCCATGTTGCTGCTCCGCCTGTCCTTGTCGTCACGGAGAACATTTCCTCTGCCTTCCTGAAGGAACAGAAAACTTGCACTGCTGTGCTGTAGGTTTTTTTTGGGGGGGGGAGTGGGCTGGGTCTGGGCTGGGTCTCAGGTTCATTTCTCTCCTCTTGTGGTCATCAATGCCCAGTGTGCGTTTTATAGTAACACTACAGTAATTCCTTCTCAATACCGCGTCTCAGTATCCACCGACACAGCTTTTTAGACGTCTTCATCTTTCTCGTTACCTCCGGAAATGTTCCCCCTCCTGATTGGTTGTCTCTACCTAACACTCCGCCTCTTCATCTCTTTTCACCCCGCTGCGCTCCGTCAGTGTCTCCATCTTCATCCATCTATTTTTAGGGCGTTCATCTCAACCACCTGCAAACCCTCTAATTAGTTCACATCTGTGTTTGAGCTGCGCCATCTCAAGCACACATTGATACCACACAAATGTTCGTGCGTGCACAGCAGTACACCTTCTGGTACTGAAAATAAGAAGATGTTGTTAGGATTTCAAAACGTTGCTTGCTTTCTGCAGCTATTATTCTAATTAATCAATGTTGTTGCATAAGAACGTGGAGTGTCGTATTAAGACATATCAGGGGTTTTTTTCGGGTTTTTTCTCATGGCCTCACTGCTTCTGCCACTGATAATCCGGATGTTTTTAAAGATGTTTTGAGCCACACTTAACCACGGTGCTTGTGTGTGTGTGTGTGTGTGTGTGTGTGTGTGTGTGTCTCTCCAGGGCTGCGAAGCAGTTACTCTTGCAGTGTCTGCAGTGTGGTCCTCAACTCCATTGAGCAGTACCATGCACACCTCCAGGGCTCCAAGCACCAGAACAAGTGAGTACAACCGCTGAGGACTCGACTGACTAGCCATCCATTCACCCGACATGCTGAGAAAGGGAGGCTGTCTGAAGCTGACAATTCGACAATCACGTCCACCCCGTGTGGCGATCGGTGAGGTATGTGTAGGTGTGAAAGGAGGCGGGTTGGAACTTTAGTCTCATGGTCTTTCTCTTTTCATTTCATTAGACAAATACATTGCCCCGAGGCTACGATGACACACAAAGACACAAGCACTCTCAGTCCAATATAGAGGAGACGGCGATGATGAAAGGCTTTTAGCGCCTGCAAATAATGGCAATTTGAAACATGTATGAAGACTTTTGAACTGAAGAATGCTTTTTGCGTTCTTCCCGGTGTAGGTGATGTATATCATGTAACACTACAGGCTTCGTCCGTTACATTGTTAGGTAATGTAATGTATAGTTATTTAACAAATTGTTAGTTATGTATCATGAATAGTTTGAAGAAATTATGTGTTTCACCCTTGCAAAGAGATTGTCTGCTTTTCTCAGTTTTATATCCTAGTATCGTTCTTTAGGTTTTAGAAACTAATGTCAAAAATCCGCCCTGCAGTCAACTGCAAAACTAGTTTGAGTAAGAATAAGTTGCATACAACTATGGAGGGCTAAAAAGAAAACAATGTTTGGCAGGGTTTGTGATTTAGATATAACCATCGTCGTTTGTTGGAATATGACAGAAGGAATGAACGGTTATTCTGACAGTACCACTGGGCATCATTAGACTGTTGCTTGTGATAAAATACAGTCTGTAGGGCCACATTTTAAATACCTGATGGGTGGAACAGAGAATATTCACTGGATGCAATCCATCTAAAATACAATTACAAGCATGTGGAGCAGAGTGACGGGAATAGGGTTATTTATTACGAAGAATGACAGTTGCACAATGAGATTAGGCCATTTCTATAACTGATTTGGAAAATATAATCACAGCTAATGTGAATACGTGTGGAATGTGTAGAACGGTTACATCTCATGCATTTACCATGAGCTAGCAGTGAGCATGGTAAATGTTGTGGCGTGTGTGCATGCAAGTGTCTCTTTGTATTCAGAGCAATGTAAAGGAAATGAATTGTTATGAATGGAATATTCGTTAGATAAAAGGTTGCTTGAGGATAGAATTTAGTAGTTGAGGCACATCAGCAGAAATGTCTCTATTTATCCAGCCTGGAGCCTGGAGCTTGTCGGCAAACATGTTAACCGTTGGCAAGTGATTGGCGTAGTGAGAACAAATCAGGTGATAATAGGATGAGAGGGAAGGATGACAAGAAAAGAAACTTAGTAGGATATCATTTTCTTTGGGCAAACAGTGAATTTCAAATGCTTCTATCCTTCAGTCACGAGAAAGAGCTTAAGCATTTAATATTGGTTACGATTAATCACGTGTTCTCTGTTTGCTACACAAACTATACAGTGTGTTCTAAATATAGACTCCCGTCCATTGCCCCAAAAAATAATTCCGCACCAACTTGAGTTATTCTCAGATGGATAACGCTGCGTGTTGTGTGCAGAGGGAGTGTGTGTTGTGTGCAGAGGGAGTGTGCGTTGTGTGCAGAGGGAGTGTGCGTTGTGGCGACGCCGCTCTGGGTGCTGAAACACAGCGGAGGAGATTGATAGACAGACAGGATAGGGATGGCTGCGAATCCAATATGAAAATGTACGATCTTTTAAAGGAATCATATCATAAATAAATCATTTATCCAGATTAGAAGACAAATGTGTCATCCAAATTTACAAAAACAACAACTAAGTGTTTCTGAAAAATGAGATCAAACTCAGTTAGAGCGTATTTATCTTAGTCTGATTACTCTGCATTTGTGTAGGCAAAATTAACATTTATTTAATTAGCAGAAAACATTTTCATATATAAGGTATATACAATTGGATTTGTGCCTTGTCGCCCAGCCCTAAAGAAAGTCGTATTTTCTGTTAAACCTTTTTTATCTCTTACCCAGAATGCTAGCTTGCTGCCCAGACAGCTCCAGTGGGATTTGCTAAAGCGCAGAGATTGCAGCTCATATCGGTACAGAACCTGACTGTAATTTGGAGGTCAAAACATTAAAAAGTACAACAAACATATTTAGCCGAAACTGATGACTTACTATGAACTACTACACAGAGGCTCATGGGATCTGTCTTTATCAAGTATAGAGTATAAACAGTAGCCAGGTGCCGTTTGAAAAATGACAATAATAAACTGCATGATTGTATTCTGAAAGAGATGTTGAGTAGCAGGAAGTAACAGCTTTGTGTTTTTGGATGACTAACCTAACTAGAGGTTACAGAAAGGAATCGGATGTTTACGGAAGGCATCAACTAACCCATAACACATAAAGTGGGATTCTGAACGTCTAATACAGCTCTCTCCGCTCTAAGTCAGCCTGAGTAAAGGTGCGAGCGTGTCGAGATGTATACGAGGTCTCTGCACCGAGGTTGTAAATCACAGAAAAGTGCCTCATAACTCTCATTCTGTCAGTTGAACTGACGTAAAGCAGAAACGAGGACGAGGGCAACCAAGACTTATGGATACGAGGGAGACACCGCGCACCACGCACAGAAAGACACGTCGCGCTTGAGACAAACGAATAAAAAAGGCATTGAGACAGAAACAACAGCAGGATGGTAAACGAAATTGTGACAGGGACAAAATCTCCTTTAATCGAACTGAAAAGCGGAGCCAGATATCTGGAGTGTAGCAGTGTGTCAGACGGCTGCAGGCCGTGCTGCTTGGGATTGACAGGACATGGACGAAGACAGACACACAGACAGACAGAGAGGGACCAGGGACAATTACAGGGAAGGCGATAGATGAGAAGGGGAGGAAGTACCTCGCTCGCCTCATCAGACAGGCTTAAGGGCAAACTTCTGAGGTGGAGGAAACAGCTCAATGAGTGGTGACATCTTCCAGTAAAACACCTCTAAGTAATTAGAAGAAATGGCCCCCTGTGCTGTGCGGACAAGTGGAAATAAATTAAAAGCCCCTTGTCGGTGTCCATAATAAGAATAGGAAATTGTTTGGAACCGATATTTAGAGGTTGCCTCTATTTTTTTAAAATCTATGGATTGTTTTAAATTCTCAAGGGCAGCGTCTTCAGGATTGCAGACTTACAGTGTGCAGAAACGTGTGAAAAAGTCCACGAGAGAGCCCTCGAAGCTCCGGCTATTACACGGCGGGAAAACAGCCCTCGCAGACCTATTTTGCAAAGGCACGCTCAACTCAGTTACGTCCGCCAGGGTGAACACTTACACTGGTACTGGCAATAAGTCCTGCCAGCTCTGTTGGACCGCTGGATCAATCCTCTGGGAAAAATAGAACAAGACCAAAGGCTCCACCTCATCAACCCCACTTCCTCTGCCGTCACCCAGTCACTCAGGTGAAACACAACACTGGTAATGTGTGTTAGAAACCCTTAAGTCAAAGTCTCTCCCTTCCTCACAATCCCTCACCGTCTCTACATCATTGTGCGTTACATTTCAGCCCTGCCAACACCGTAGTATACGGGCATCATGTCTTCACTAATAAAGCCCCTTCCACACACTATGCAGTGTGCATGACAAGGCCTCTAAGGCAATGTAGTACATAAGAAAAGGAGTTGTGTGTATTTGTATGTGTAAATAAGCCAACATGTTTCTACGTGGGGGGAGGTTGGTTTATTTGTGCAGCACTCGTCATGAGCACCAACTTCTTTACCCGGCCTTATTATGGAGTTAACATTTTTGTACAGCCATGTGGATGTGTGTGTAGAGAGCGTGTGTATTGTGTGAGTGTGTGTGTGTGTGTGTGTGTGAGTACTTATGGAAAAGAGGCTATTGAGTTCAGTTCAAATCTGTCGGTTGTTTTACAAGGTGGACAAGGCTTAGCTTAAGAGACGCGAGATCCAACACCCTAACTTTGACCGTGTGTGTGCGCGAGTGTGTTTCTCCTAGTGTGTGTTTTTGTGGGTCGGGTGTGTGTTCTCTCACACACAGGATGAGCTTCGGCTTGTATAAGGAGCTTTCCGGAGGAGACGAAAGCACCGCTAACAGCGGCAGGGGATTAGCTCTCACCGAGGAAACATCTAAGAAAAATGTATATGTAATACCTCCATCTATTTATTGGTACACGTGTATGGGTGTGTGCGATGTTTGGCATTAGGAAGTGCAAACACAAGGGCCAAAATACGCAGGTGCAAGACAAAAATACAACTGCAGGGCACAAATGAAGTTTGCTCATTTAGGCTCCAAATAAACCGTTTATACCTCTTTTCATTTAACATGGCAACGCTGAGGTGAAACGTTGCCTTGAAAAATAATGTATGTGGACGGTAAGTGTGTGCAGACCACCTTCGCTCAGCGGCATTGGGAATGTGTTGTTATAAAATAATAATAATTTCTCTCTTCTTGAAACAGCTGGATGCATCAATCTGCCAGTTCTCCTTATCCGCGTCGTGCATCTGCTTCTCACTCAGTCAGCCGCGGGTCACTTGAAGCGCTGCGCAATCCACACAGTCGCTGCAGACCGGCTGTTGTAATTGGACCTGCGCGGGATGATGACAGCGGTGATATAACTAGATAAACTTGGCAGAACATTTTCGCAGTTTACAATCAAGCCATTGCACTTTGCTGGCACGCAGTCATGGAAACACGTGGGAGACAGAAAATAAACAGATACACAAATGCTAAATTCCCAATGTTGGTTTCTGACTCAAGTTCTAGAGGAAAAAAAAGAATCGCTAGTTGGAGAAAAAAGTGACAGCTAAAGAATTAACCGTACACCATAGCTGCCGAGATCGATGCCAATATCTCGCTATCGGCGTGCTGATTCATCAGCCCTATTATATAGATCCTGCCTTGCGTGACGCAACATTTTTCCTGTTAATATTCAGGAGTTTGATCCAGTGTTGTCAAAAAGCTCATAGAAACCCCTCAAGGCTTTTATGGTAGCTTTTATGCAAGGATTACAGGCCTGACCAAGTATACATGCATTACATTATCTTTCTAAAAACAGAAAGAAAAAGAAAAAAGGCACTAATTAGCTCCTTGGAGTCCACAAGAGAAAACAAAGGAACCAGTAAAGCACAGCTCACTTGCAGCCCCGTTGCTTCTGTAACCAATGACACGACGTGGCTTTAACCACCCGTATAATATTATTCATGTTCACATCACTCACCAGGATCGTAAGGCCGTCGCTTTCTGGAATGCTTTACAACATCCGACCTCTCGTCTGCCTCCACGTGTGGCTTTCTCTGTGCGCACCACGGGCCTGCGTGAGTGCGTCTGTGTGGTGTTGGTGCTAACGCAGGGCCCTGCTGTACGCCGGCGAGGTCAGGGACAATCCATTTAGCCTACGCGCCCTGGTAATTATTCAGCATCAGTACCGCCGAGGACACAAGCTACAAAACAAACTAATGCACATTTAAGAGGGAGAGAAGAGGGAGCGGGCGGCCGAGAGTGTGAGAGATTACAGCGCTGAGTGTAAAGTAACTCTGAGCGCAAATGAGTTATCAACTTGCTGATAGGGCCAGCTTGCTGGCTCTGTGTGTGTGTGCGCGTGTGTGTGCGTGTGCGTGAATGAGTGTCCTCTCCCTGCTTGAGGCAAGGTGACAGGTTAATTCAGGAATGCCGCAGGTCGGCTCTACTCTCACACCTGAACACACACACACACACACACACTGAGCTCACAGGCCCAAAACAAGAAAACACTCACATGAACGCAGTTTTTGTTTACACACACAGACACCTCGCCTCGGGCATCACAGCCTGTGATATTAATAAGATGAGGGGGGTGGGGGGGTGTTCATGCTGGAATCATGACTCACAGATCAGCTCCCTCAGCAAACGGATTTAACCTGGTATGCACACACACACACACACACACACACACACACATGGAGTGCCAAGGTGACCTTCACAGTCCACACAAACACCTCCGTTGGATGCAAAGGTACATGGCCTCTGTCTGCTCACACACGCCTTGTATATCTCACATCCCACATGGGGGGGTTTACGGATTCATTTATTAACACACGTAACCCCCCCCCCCCACCCTCAATCTCCTGTCTTCTATACTTCCCTGTATTGCACCGGCCTTGTCTCCGTCTACCTTCACTGCCCTCCTCATGGGGTTTCTCACCTTGCACTTCCTTGGACGGTTCAACCGGCAGCGTAAGAATCTGTCGTTTGTCGAGCAAAAGGACGGCAAAATGGTGTTGGTTCAAGCTCATAAAAATGTAATGTTTTTCTGAAGGTCTCTGTTTTATAGCGCTGTAGATTAAATATTGTTTGACATTGGGCCGCAGGGAATAGAGGTCCAGAGATAAATCTGCACCGATTTAAGGGATTATTTACATTAATCTGCCACCAACGCCCTCCCCTCTCACGAAGAGTCGCTACTCAACAAGTTCACAACTCAAAATAGATGGGATTCTAAACAATGAATGACCCCTCTCTCTGCCCCCCCCCGTCCCGCCTTCTCCTCATGCTGTCCTTCACTCCCGCCTCGCCGCTACCTGTCCCCTCCGAGAGAACAATACAGGCTCCCGGAGTCACGCCATCCCAAACCCTCAGTGAGTCCAAAGTGCTAGATGAGTCCTGACAGAGCAGACAGGGTGGAGAGGCCACTGCTTTAACAGCCATTACCGGGATAGGTGCTGACAGCCGGGGTGCCAGCGCGTTCCCTCCCCTTTGCTCTCTTCCCTTCTCGGCTTTGGAAGTGAGAGTGTGGGGCAACGCTCCGAACAGGACACGGTCAACGAGGGGGAATTGTGACAAGGATTTGAGGGAGGGGAGGGGGTAGTTTTTATTTCGGGACCAGACGGATGGCTACATCCATTCTTAAACATTTCATTCTCACTCAGTTATTGATCGTGTTTGTATCTCCGATTAGACATGAAAGGAGACGGCGGTCGGTTAAGAGAGAATATTCAAGACTGCATCGTGAAACAGAGAGAAAGGTTCTCAATCCAACAAAAGTAACAATCAAAAAAGGTTATTCCTTAATGAAACGAGCACTGTCCTAATTGTTATTGTTGAGATTTGATTTGTTGTAACATTCAGGCCATTTAATAGATGAGACCAACTCAGAATGTTGACCTTGTTGTTTCAGGTGTACTTTGCAGGTCAGCTGCACTGCCTTTAAATGTCCCTGTCCTATAAGGGGGTTACAGATACATCTCACTCAAAAATACGTACTCAATTAGGCGGGCGTTGACTTGGCATGAGCTTTCATCTAACTTATCTCTTTGTTGTAATTGAATGTGGCATCTCTGCCTCTGGAGTTGCTTTGTTTCACGGCGATAAAGCTGCAGAATGCAACCACAGCGCCTGACATCATGAAAAACAATCGGCTGCTGAAGATAAGGCCACATCCAGAGTAATTGTTGCACCTAAAACACAAGGGTTTATGCTCATATCTCTCTCCTTTGTTTTATTTTGGGGAGCAGCCAGATAGGAGGCATAATAGACGGCTGTAATTATGAGAAGATTGGGAAACAGGATTATTGGTTAATGCCTCACATACATTACAGTAGAGCAGTCTTCCCTGTGAAAGGAAATTATTTTCAGTGCAGCAGAGGAAATAAGACAAAGCAGGGTTACAGCGCTACATCTCTGTGTTTTCTGCTGCAGCAGTAATGGAATGATACGATGTCCTCATTGCTAATGTATGGAGATAAATGTGCAGAGATTTTAAAGGTAAATGAAATGACTTCCATGGGACATTACATGGCACAAACATTATTTCTTTCCCCCCAGTGGGCATGACGTTCCCTGTGGTTAAAGAGCCCTGTTTTGTTGCATCTGCTTGTGTCAGAGGCAAAACAAGACCAACAAATTATTTCCTGTGTTTTGTTTTCAGCCTGAAGCAGCACCAGCAGTGAGCCACGGAGACAGGCCGCCCGGGAAAGAAAAGATGATTGCTGGAATAAACAACTACAGAAAAGAAAATGACTCGTCAGAAACAGAAAAGTATGAGAAAGTCTAGCAGAGTAACTTCAGTGTGTACGTGCATCTGTTTGTGTGCGTGAGTGTGTGTGTGTGTGTGTGTGTGAGTGTGTGTGTGTGTGTGTGTGTGTGTGTCATGGGCTTCCATGCAAGCATCTGCAGTATGCATGTGTGGCTCATCGTGAGTGTGTTTTTATTTCTAGCTTTGATCTAAAACGATATCTCTGAGATTTATTCAGCACCGAAGTGTTAAGTGATGAGTTCTCGACAGCCGTGCGAAGCCGGCTGCATGTTGCCATAAAACTTCAGTGTGAACCACAATCTGAAAACTGTACTGATGTCAGTGTCGCCCAGAGCGGTAATAATCGTTATAATGATAGTCAAAGAGCAGCTGTGACAATACAACAATTGTTACTAGCCGTCCCCCAAGTGCTCGGACGGTGATCCAAATGGTGTGTTTCTACGTGCTTTTCATTTCCTCTGACACGGATCCCTTTCAGACCACTTGAGACTTACTCAGGTCCCAGACCTTTAAATCCATGGAGAAGAAAACTTCCCAACGACCTCAACCACCATTACAAATTGCATAAATTTCCAACTTTAGAAATCATTTCTCGGTTTGACTCTCGTGTTGTCTGTGCATGCGGTGGACCTGCATCAAATTTTTTTTTTCTCCAGCCGGTGGACGTGTCATGTGTCATCTTTTTGTGTGCTCCTTTTAATGAAAACCACAAGACGTGGCATGGTTACATGGTTACAGTACGGACGGCAGCGGAGGAAAGACAGGCAGCACAAATACTTTTAAACCGAGGTCAGGGTCTGTGCAACATCTACCATTGAAAACATTCCCATAGCACTTAATATTGATGTCAGATGCAGTCAGAAGGTGCCAAAAGCTCTTGTCTCTGTTGAGTTGGGCGACCTGTAGATAACTTTTTTTATTCTATGGACAGAGAAAAAAAGACAGAATCACTCCCTGACCATGTAGCAGCCAGCGTGCAATACAACTGGGATGCAATTCAATGCATGCACAATGTGAAACGTTGCATTCACATGCCTTTTTGAAACATATTGCTTGCGCATTCTGGCAATAGCGCTGCTTTCTAGCGATAGCTTCGTCTGCATTACCGCACATGCTTGCGCCTGGGCGGAAAGGTCACCTGTTCGTGGTGCAATTAAATTATAAAAAAATGTAAACCTTTTAATATCTGCAAATGAGACCAGCTGTTGTGTCGCCACTCATTTGTGTGTATTTTGAGTGTCCGTAAAGTGAGTTTCAACAATAGTCTGCGGCATCATACGTTGAGGCAACAGACGAGACGCCGCACCTTCACTTTCACTGAGCGGCATTTCTCTGTAGGCTGAGCTGAGGATGCTAAGCTATCAGCTGTTTGCTTTTTGTCCCTGTAAACACATTCAGATGTTGTTGTTTTTTATTATTATTTTGCATTTCATGGTGAGGAGACTTAATTGTGAGTGACCTGATTAAAATAGTTTTTTCTTCTGCAGACGTTTGGATGAATACTGGTTTTATGCAATCACACTGTAATATTAATAACCATACAATGAGGGTTTAAAGTTAAATCATTTAACGAAGCATAAAAAAGCAGTGTATGTAAATATAAAGTAGCTGCAGGTGAAATCTATGTTTTACGTTTTGTATTAATATTGTTCACCTGAACTGTTACTGAATTACAGGAAAATAAGGGGAAAGGGTTTCCTATGGATGTTAATGGAAAACACTGGATATGCTGGATATTAAACAAGAATGAACTGTCTTTTGGTGGGTCATGTTTCTGAATTGTTTGAAAATAAGAATTGGTGATGATGGACAAAAATCCAGCGCGTGGAAGACGGCAAGTGATCATAAAGAGATTCTGATAGAAGGCGCTTTCATGAGGCCACAAGGATCATCTCCCGGAGAAAACATCTGATAGGTGATCGCAAGTGGATTCGTAAAACAGCGGAAGAGGACATTGCTGGACTTCAGACTGTTGGATTTTAACATGCGTTTGAAATAACCAACCTCTTTGTCGAGGATAATGCCGTAAGAAAAACACAAAACAGGAGGTCGTTTGGCTCGCTTGATGTGCTGTTTTGCACAGTCTGCGCAGAAGTTGTTACAATATATATATATATGACAGAGATGTATCTACGAGGTAGGATATTGTGATATGATATGATGAGTTTGTGTATGTAAAGCTGTCACAAGTTGTGTACCTCGAGCACATTTGTAAACACACCTGAGGATGAATACAATGAAGATGACAACTATATCTATTTTCTCTTGCAAAAATCCAGAGCTGTGTTTTTGTTTTTCTGTGCACCACTGTGCAGATGTGTGAAGTTTGCTTTGACTGGCAGCAATAGTCTGCTCCCACACGTGCACAACCTTAACTGTAATGGAGACACAAGTGGTTATGAAACATAGCAATTATCGTGTCTCTACAACTAAAATACGACACCTAGACCAATGGTGCATTAACATATGAGATGCAGAATTTAAGTAATAGAACGGCAAACATACCAGTCAAATGTGGACATCTTCCAGGTGTAAAATCGCAAAACCCACGTTACTAAAGTTAAAACTGTGTTATGGTTTTGCCACCACCACAGAGGATTTAAAATATCCGGCTGATTGATGAATAAATCTTTTAGTATGAAATGAGAGTGTAGGATATTGATGGAAACAGGTGATTTGTGCAGGCTGTGTGATATTTACAACAAACCAGAGGTAATATTTCGGTAACAAAAGAGGGAAAATGAAACACCGAAATTTAGTTCTCAGTACTGCATGAAAACAAACATCAAACCATCACTTTAACCACTTTGGATTGCTGACACCTGTATGCAGGGGAGCAGTGGATGAAAATATTGAGTTTACAGAGTTTTCTCACTCGAAGACGCAGCTCAGTTTCTTTGTTGCTCCAGAAGAGAAACACTATAATTATGCAACAGTGTCCCAGTTTCCTTTTGAGTGCTCCAGTTGGAAACCTTTAGGAATTCGGCACTAATCGACAGGTAGATAATGTTAACGACAAGCTCCGCCAGACAAAGCAGAGAATCCAGACTGCAAGTGTTTAAGTAGAAGAGAATCAGCTTCTAGACCCCGAAAATGCTCAGACTGCGTTTTTTCTACGAGTACAAGAGGCGACTGAAGGTTATACTCTTGACAGAGGCTCCAGTTGAGCAAACGAATCACAAACTATTGCACTCAAGAGTAACATTGAATCGCTGGTACGAACTGTTCAGGCTGGGGACAAGCAGAGCGGCAACTTACAGAAACCTTTTCTTTGGAAGCTTCAGTATGTGATAGTTTGGTGAGTGTTACAGTACATTAGTTCATGTTAATATTCCTTTGTTCTACCAGAAAGTTTATTTGTATTTTTTGACATGTTTATTTTTTTTACTATAAAGAAGTGAAAAGCGCATAGTCTCCTCCAATGTCTGTGAACAAACACACTGAGACACCGAATGTATGAACAGAAAGATAAGGAGGGCAGATAAATTGGACTGAAATCCTGCTAGATAACATGTATGCTCCTGTAGCAACCTAATGTTTTTAATATCGGAACAATACGTTGAAAAAAATAACGTTTTTGGTAATGGTTTGTTAAAGATTTGAAGATATTTATTTAATTTTGTAAAACAGTTTGTATTCCCCTTAAGTAAGGAGCTGCAGGGGCTTTACTTTTGTCCCCCATACAAACTATTTTTACATAAGTATTTTTATAAGTATTCTCTTAGTTTAACTTTTCACCATGCACTTTTAATTGCAAAGTGTATGTTTGTGCTGCATATTCATTATCAAAACTAATGTTAAGTTAGTAACATCATCACTTACGTTGGGTATATTCTACCAGATATTATATATCCCGTTAAATGTCTCAGAAAACAAAGAAATCCTGAGGGGATGGTGTAAAAAATGCTTTAAAATGCTTTAAAGAAAACATCCCTCAAAAAGGCTTTATCCTCTGTCACTAACAACTCTACACTTGTGTTGATGAGTGAAGATAAAAAAAGAATACTTCAAAAACAACTTCCCATTCCCATTTACAAAACAGAGCTTTGTGTGAACACAGCTCAATTATTTATCACTGCCTATTTTGAGGCTCACAATGATAATTCTTATCCTTAATGTTGCAGGAATTGTGGTTTTCAAGCCACAAACCAAAATTCACTTAAAATAAAGAAATAAGGCCGTACAGACCCATTTTCCACACACACATTAACAACCAACACTGATATATTTAGGCTGTATCTCTCCAGAAGCAAATGGTGATGATAAATAATTAGTGTAGTTCATTGCTGGCAACTGCAAAAAAAAAGCTTTGATGAAAAGACGGATTGTGCATGTTGAGGTTAAAAAACATTTGATAATGATAGAAAATTATTGAGTTATTATGACACATAAGCTTTTAATGATATGTTTTGCTAGTTGTGAGATAATTATTACTTGTTGGAGTTAAATGAATCCCTGTAACAAAGTACACTGACACCAGGAGAAAATATTACATTTGTATGAAATCTACCATTAAGCTTCTCGTAAAACTAGTTCAAACCATCATATCATTACTAAATTGATAATGAGACAAGATGCAACAGTATCAGTCAGAATCAGCTCAGCAGGTGACAGCGATTGATCGCATCATATGTCGGCTTTGAAGTATTAATCAGAGTAGCACATCAGAAAACCTTCTAAATTATTCAAGTTAGGAAAGAAAATACCCTTTAACCATTTGTTTGTGTTTGAAGATTTTATTTAGGCCTTCATTGATAATCCTTACTGGTCAGCTCTCCAATTGACAAATGATGTCATGGCAACACTTTTCCAAAAGTTAATTTCCAAATAAGCTCAAACATACTTTGAAATTTAGGAATTTCTTACATGACATTGGCACGAGATCTGTAACAAGATGAATTCAGCTGATGCGTAATTCATGCAGCAACGCAGCGGTTCCCAAACTTTTCTCTTGCGAGCCCCCCCTTGGACGATACAGCGACATTGAAGAAAGCAAAGGGAAAGCAGCAAGTTTTCAAATTTGAGATGTGAAGTGCGTGTGTGTTGTCGTGTGGATTTGACTTGAGTTGAATATAAAAATAAAAAATAAATGAAAAAGATGGAAGATTAAAGAAGAAAAGTAGAAAATATGCCCCTTGTTTTCAACAAACAATTAGCTGCAACGCTTGTTTCCCTAAACGACATTTACATTGTAAGGAGGCTGAAAGCTTGAGTCGTTGTTGTTGTTTAGAAAGATCTGTTTTTTGTTGTTGTTGTGCACGATGAAACACTTGGAGAGAGGAGACGCGCAGAGGAGGGAGCGTAAATCAGTGCCAACAGGAGACGCTGTGCACTTTTAATGGCTCGCCGCAGTCAACAGGAGACGAGCTAAATAAAACATTAAAGCTGGTATTATGTCTTTTCCACTGCGCCATCCGACCTCTGGGTATCACAAATCAGTGGGTGTGAGAATACTAGGTCACCACTCCACTTAGCCCGTAGCAGGGCACGTTATCTCCACTCATCCATATTCATCACGCTATCACTGTAACCCCACGTTCTGCTGGGGAGGGAGTCTGCAAAGGTAGTCTCTCTCTCTCTCTCTCTCTCTCTCTCTCTCTCTCTCTCTCGGCCGCTGCAGTTCACAGCTTGGCCTCTTGACCTCCTTTATTTGGAAACATCAGCGTGGCGCTGCCTCGCCGTGGAGCTCACGCCGAATTAGCAGCGGCTGCTTGTGTAACCATTTCACGCCACACGAAGGAGAATCCGTGAGTCACAGTGATGTTGCACAGAGATCCAGTGTATTGGATGTCAGAATTTCCTCGAGGTGACCCGAAACAAATGCGTCGTTATTGGGAGCATTTGTTGAAAATGTCAAGATGGAAATACGTCCTCAATTGACATTTTAAAAGGACATAAGGGTCACCGGGTTCAAGGCACAAAGGAGCCAGACAATTTTATTACTGTGCAGCCATTTCACTTTACCAGGGTGAAGTAACATAACACAAAAACAGTCACCCCTCTCGACAACTGGTAAACAAACAACTAACAATCACTTTCAGAGAAGAACAGCACTGGCGGCTAAAATATCTGAACTACTCTTTTTATTCAATCGATACATAAAAATCTCAAAGACAACAAGCAAAAGAGAAGTGTTTGTTTTGTCTCTGGTTACACAAACGATTAATCCAACCTGCACCTTTACTGCTCCCATCCACCAAGACAACAGGCGTCTCATCCTTCACACGTGGTGTCCCAACTGGCTGTTACCCGTCGGCAGCGGTGACGTGACCTCACGCGACCCCCGGCAGCGACAGATCCTCACTCCGTCGCAGCGCGCTTCTCATTGTCGGAGCCCGCTGTCGGAGCCTCCCTGCCAAAGAACCATTGTTGCCGTCACAACATTCAGCCCCACAGCCCTGGTTGTCATTCTGGGGAGAGGTTCAAAAGGCAGGCGGGTGACACGAGCAGCCAGACGCGCGTGGGCATTAACGTTAACTCGTTGTGGGCAGAGCCAGTCACTGCGATGAACAATGGTCTGCAGCCACGCTTGATGCTTGATGCTGAACTAGTTTGAGGTGAACGCTAACACAAGCATGCTAACCTGTTCATCATAAACAACATGGCCGTTATGCAGTAAGTAATTGCATTTTGTAGGATAGGAAAACATAATGTTGAAAAACCAGTTGCGAGAGGAGCATCTCTCATTGGAGCCGCGATGCTTGTGCGTTTTGTACCGATGTCCTGCTCGCTCTGTTTTACCGGATAACAAAAAAAGCTGTTGGATGAATACATCAGGTAAGATAACTCATCTAACTACCAAGATTGGTTTAAAAAACCTAATTGGAACCATCAGAGAATACATTTATATATTCATTTCACAGTCACACACAAAGTGTGTCTGACTTATTGCACAATTCAAACGATATTTGTCTCTCGCCCTTGACTAGAATACATCGTTTTGCCAAAATAAGTCCTGGCAGCCGAGGACGGGGTGGTCACAGACCAGCAGCAGCTGAATTGAGACCCGAGCTTTGTCAGTGTTAGAAGGGACAGCCGGGACAGCGCGACCACTTGGCGCCGACGCGGTTATGCGATACTTAGCACAGTATAAGTGAGTCCCGTCACATTGGCAGATTCTTTTTCCCTCGTAAGGAGAACGAGATTCAAGAATCAGCAGTGGAGCGAATGGTTGGAGTGACTCATCCAACAATTTTACAGTCCAGCTGTCTACGGTCGACAAAAATATTAAAGCTGAAGAGATGGCACACAAATGTCAAATAGTGTCCCTGTTGTAAATGTGTGTCCTTTCTGTTTGTGTGGCCATGGCTACGCTACACAATGATCAAATGATCGCGAGTAACCCTGACAGATTACTACGGTATTTTTAACCTTGTTTTAAGCTAAAGACAACAAGGCCGTAGCTCCAGTCAAGCAGAGACAGTGTGTTGCCTTCTGCTAAAATCCAAATCTGTCTCCTGCTGTTTTTGAAATGAGAAGGCTTTGCCAATGGCTCCAGCAAAAAGCTTTTTGCTGTTTCTTCTGCACGGCAGGACAGAGCTTTAATTAAAACTCTGATCGGACTGTTTCAACCCATGACTGCATCAGTGCATCAGTGTGTGTGTGTGTGTGCGTGTGTTTATGGATGTTGTTTTGCACATTATGTGAATGTATATTTCCTTGTATACGTATTACGTGTACGTATTTGTGTTTGGAGAGTCACATCTCCTCCGATGTGCACCGCGCGCTTCCTATAAAGAACCTCATTACAAGATGCACATTCCATCTAAAAACCTATTTCACCATCTGGAGACTTTCATGACCAAATCAATCTGGCTGCTTCTATGGAAAATTCCTTCAATTTCATCAAAAAAAAAGGTCGATATTTGCAGACCGCAGAAAAGTTCAAATTTGATTTGTTTAAAAGTTCAAATTTACTGTCTACCAAAAACCAATTTGCCTAGTGGCTCCTTGGCTCCGTGATGTACAGTATTTGCCATATTGGCTCAGATTAAACAGAAAGTGATTGAGCGTAGAAAGGGAGGACCCTCCAACACCTACACTCTTCCAAACTAGGCTAGTATGAACTAGGCCAGTGAGGCGTGATTCTGCCTAATACCGTATGTATCTGGGCCTCGACTCAGGAGGGGGACAGGCGGTGTAATAAGTCTGTCTGTCAGCTGACAGCTACATCTGATAGTTTCTCCCATGTGACTTCTGTCTTCTCCAGCATCCTGCTCCCGGGCTGCAGAGCGCACCCCGAACCCTCTAAACGGGTAACCGTCAGGCAGGCGAACACGCAGACACATGCACAGACGCTGGAATGAGGTTGTCAAAGCTAAAAATAAAAAAAAGGCAGCTAGTCGGGCGCTTTGTCTCCGTGTCAAGCAATTCCAATCAATAACCACGATTACTGGGGCCATGTGC